TGTTGGCATGATCTCCAAACTCCTGCACACAGAAGAGAGATTTTTGTTTAGTAACAGAAAGCACACAAACACAGAAAGCCCACTCTGGCTACTGTCTGACCCCGTAATCACTGGTAGATATTGGGTCAACGTTGTGTAAACAACAGTTTCAACACAGGTAACATAATGGTCACTGTATGTATGAAAACAGCTGATTAGGGTGGCCAGTGGTATAACTGAAGGTCACATGAATGCAGGTCAGTAAAAAAACAGTGAAACAGGAATATGTTAAACAGGGATATTAAACACATTGTTTTCAATGTGTTCCTGTGTGTTTAACAGCTGCCTGCACACCACATTTCCTTCAGGATTATTATGAAGTTCAAGTTGAATGAAAACAATATCTAAAAGACAAACTGATATTTTAACACCGATGCACTACAGAGTCCTTTAAACATTTAGAAAAAGCACCAGAAACATGTAGGTACGACTGCAGACTGCGTGTATCCTCTGCAATACTTGTGTATTCTTAGTGGACATAATTTACAGAGATTTCACATTTAGGCTGTGCAGTTTTTTACCATGTTGTACCAGCAGTGGTCTGCCTGTGAGACGATGGACAATGTCATAGCTCAGTGGCTTTCACACTGTAACCTTAACAGCTGCAATATCGGTTTAAAAACCTTTCAAGCGTGTTTCCATGAAGCAATTAAATATGACGAAACAGTACTGTGCCAGAGTAGGAAGGGCATGGTGCAGCGACTGTAACAGTATCACAGGAGCAGACTTTTAATCAATACAGCAAATTACCTGTGAAAATCTTTTTGAAAAGCAATATAAAAGGGAAATACATAGATAATAAGGAATGTATGGAGCTCATTCACTGACTCACTGGCACGATCACTGTATATTTAATGAACGGTTCAAGTGCCCCTAATATTCTGTACATGTAACACAATCAGAAAGAGACTGGACAAAGAGAGAAAGAGAGTGGGGCTGAGGTTATAAATCTTTCAGTCTGTGGGACTTAAACTAAGAGAATGATAGTGTGACAGTGAGTTGACCTTTATTTAACTTAAATACAGTCATTATTGTTACCTGGAGGAACATGATTTCCCTGAATGTCCGCTGCAAAAAGAAAGAAAATTACCATTAGGATATGTACTCTACAGTCATAAAGTAGGCACACACCAGCCTCTGGTGCTATTTAATCATTAGCCAAACTCATCTTTTCATTGAAACAGGACAGGAAGGCAATTTTAGGAAGGAGGGGAAAAAACATTTGCTGGATAATTTGGATAATTCATAATCTGTAGTCAAATGCAACCACTCATAGGTCACAATTATGACTTTATGTCATTGTCACTTAGATCAGACACATCAAGCACACACCTGAGCATCTGTCCTGTTCCTGAAGGCATCAAAGATCTTCTTCACGGCCACAATCTCACCTGTCTGTCTGTCAACTGCTTTCCATACAATGCCATAAGCCTGTGGCAGACACAAAGTACTGTTAACACAACATCTGGTCAACTCTTACAGGAGGTGGCTTATATTCAGTCAAATATTAACAGAGTTTTAACTGCAGGACGTCAACGTAAAAAAAAACACTGTGGTCTGGGCCATAGCCAGGAATTTTAAGTCCAAGCTGCTCCTTTATCCCCATCTCCAAAATGTTCTATTTATTTAGATTTTTAATTAATTCAGCATTTGAATGTCCAAGATTTGCTCTACATGATGGTCTTAATTAAAAGACTCTACTCTGTCAGAAATGCTGGAGGTTTTATTTGTTATATGTCTTAATTGTTCTTGGTTAAAATATCAAATTTAAGGCACTTTAACCACACTATAGTTGCTATTAATTATATAATCTAGACTGCCGGTCTGATCACCATATTCCCAGAAGAAAAAGGTAAGGAAATGACCTCTGTGCCCTCAGTTAGCTACAGCTCCAACTATGGTAGAGGGCGAGATAGGGTGCTGATGTAGGCGGTGAAGTGAAGCATAACAGAGGCAGCAATGAGCACACGGTTATTGTATGGGCAGAGACACAGGGAGTATTCCTGTCACTGGAGGCTCAGATTCACACAGCCCGGATTACTCCACGGCCGTCGTCTCTGTCTAAACCCAGACTCCAGAGGAGGAGATAGTGGTGTGCATTTACAGGGGAAAGTTTAAAAACCAAAAAAACTGTTCATTCAGAGCTGTAAAAGCACTTTATGACTCTCTAAAGCCAATTAGCACAGTGCTGCTCACTATTGTTCCCCCGAGGCACCGCTGCCATCCCACCAGTCAACTGTAAACAGGTTGAACAGCTGTGTAACATGAGTCACAGCCGGCCTCAGGTATGACTAGTTAGCCAATATGACGAGAGGACGTGGCAGTTACCACCTGGCCGCTGAGCAGCAATTTGTGAGTCTCTGTGGGCAGTCTATGGAAAGAAACCAGGCTGCTTTTAGTTATGTGGCAACCGTACCACCGGAGAGAAAAACAAAAGGGTTTGGGACTCTAAAGGGAACCAGTGTCCTCACACACATCAGCTGATCTGCAAGGAAAGAGTTTGTCCTGCCAAAGTAAATAAACCCCTTGCTTACAACATTGGTATTCACTGAGGACCTTAAGTCTGGATAATTACAGGAATTTCTCTTAAGGTCAAAGTACAGAGGGGGGCTTAAAGATGGATGTGGTAAACATTAATGTACAGGCACAGAGGAGGTTGGTGTAAGGTGGCTACACACTGAAACTTTTCCAAGAGGCATTCATGTCAAAGGTGCAAAAATGAGTATTTATTTTAAATCCATTAAATAAGATAGAAAAACTCAACTCACCCCTTTTCCAAGCCTCTTCTTGATTACATACTTGAGAGAGATGTGATCCTCCACCTCAGACACGTTTGCTGATTCATATTTTTTGCTCATGTTTCTTTCTGTTTCTTGTGCTCATGCAGAAAGCATCACCATACTTCTTCTTATCCCTCAGCGGGTCTTGAATGTCCGGAGAGCAGGTGTTAAAAACCCGATGAGAGCTGCAGCATGAAGCTGAGTGATAATTAAAAGTTTGATAAAAACAAATACAAGGAAGAAAAAGTCGAACCTTTTCTGTGTCTTATCTGTGCTCCACACATGCGACCCTACAGCCCTCAGACGTCGCGTTGCTTACTGTTCAATTAACGTCGGTAGAGAAGAAGCAGCAGGTCCCTTCTTAAGCTCCATTTAGTGACTGATAAAAAAAATAAAAAAACCCAACTTGTTTAACCAGTAATGTCCGGAATCTGTTGCTGTGAGTTGAGGTGAGAGTTAATTCTCGGTGCACAGAGGTTTTGGATACTCCCACACTGCTGCAGTTTACAGACGAACACTAGAGTTTTGTCATTTTCTTGTCGCCCTGGTAACGAGCACGCCGCTGCCTGCGTCTTAAAGGAGCCGCACACACAAAAAAAAACACGCTTGTCCTGACGCTGTCGTTCATACGGACGCCATTCATGGACATCTGGTGTGTTGTCAAGGAGATTAGTAGTGTAGACGACGACGAGTGGAGGCACACACAGATACAAAAAGGGTTTCTCATCATGGCCTCCGTAGATAAATAAAATAAATGGGTTTTGATGCGGCTCTACCGGTTCTAGTTCTGGGGTCAGTCCTCACAAGGGAGGAGAAAACAAAACCAAAAAAAAAAAAAAAGGTGCGTCAACTGTGGACTCTGATCAACACTGGCTGACCATTAATATTAAATGTATCAGAGAGCAAACAGCAGCAAACGTGAATGATTAACCTGATAAAATACAATTCATAGGCATGTGAGGAAAAAGAAGGGGCAATTAAAAGATTATGGTCAAAATCATTAAAAAGGAATTTATACAAATGTGACGTTCAGAGCAGTAAACAGTAAAGCTGGTGGACTTTAGGTATCAACCAGGGAAGGTCTAATTAAAGGTTTCACTCAGTTGCATTGTAGGGAATGTAGGAGCCAGTGTTTTTGGACTTCGATCCACACTTGGGTATAAAGCTCCGAATATTTTTCTCTCTCTTGCAAGCCCCCTTCTTACAATTTCCCTCTAAATATCCTATTTGAAAGGGAATCACCTCTAAAGTAATTAGAACTGGTCCTGTGTTTATTACATAATATTGGGGGGCCTTAATCCTGGGGCACTGTGCAAAATTTAAAGATCTTTATTGTTTTTGTTTGTTATGCTCATATGCTGCATATCCCCCAATAGAAGTGAATCAAATTATAACACACAAAAATCCTTAGTTAGTATCAGGGTGGGATATTGAACCCACAACCAGTACACAAACGTCAGTACCCTTTGAGATTGTCTGTAGCATTAGAGTATCAAAAAGTTTAAAGAATCATAAATTGGAATTGAATTCAGGATCAGATCTTTGACCAGATATTGCCTCATTTAAATCACTTTTCTTGCTTTAGACTGTATTTTATTTACACAAAGTTCTTTTCACTCTGATGTATTGAGCTGTTTTTCCTAAAAAATAAGAGCTCAATGGTAAGAACATGTGTGTATTCCTCAAACTAATGTACTGAATAAGATATAATTTTGGTATAGTGTCTTGTATCTGCACTGAAGACTTTAAAATGATACACAGCTCTAGTTATTCCTGCATTGGAGTTTCGTGTTGAAATCTGAGTCCCTGGACATATAATAAAGCTGACATATATAATCTGCTGTGTGCACTACACTTGATGTGAATTTGAAGCCATTTTTGCACTTAAGCTGATCTGGCTATGAATCATTAAGCTGTTACTGTAGCAAGTAAACAATTCAGCAGGAAAAATAAAACAATATCACAAGTCAAATGCACATAAAAGGCAATCAGAGCAATACAATTATGTTTTTTATAAAGAAAAGGGAATAAGAATTCTCTAAAATTCTTTGAAATGGTGCAGCAAGTAGCCTTTTGACTGTTCAAATTTCTTTAAAGCTGCCCCCATTATTATATTTCTTCTTAACATCACGTCACAAGTTTTATCGTTTCGTACAAAACAAAATACACAAGACAATGAAGTTTGGAGGTAGATTTTTTTATCTTTATTTCTAAAAAGGTGTTACATGCTCTTATTTAAAAATCAAAACTATTATTTACAATGATAAATCTTAATAAATATGTTCTCCCTAATGGTGTTTGAGGGTTGAAACATATTTAGCAAGCAAAATAAGGAGGGGGCATGTCCACCTCGCTTTTGCCCACTTAATGTGGCCAAACCCTCACTTCTAAAGCAAATATAGATTAGGCAGGTTAACAGAAACAGGACTAGAAAATGTACATAAATAATTCCTTCCACCATAGTTTCAATAGAATTATTAATTTGAAATGCAGTCTAAACATCTTAAAGTCCAAACAATTACTTCAGCTGCATTTATTTTCCATTAACTGACATCAGCTTATTTTATTCTATCGACAGAAACGATTGTAGGATTCTACAGTAGAAACGTGTGTGATAGAAAAACAAACATGGTATACAGAAAAAAAAAAATGTTCATCTGACCCCAAGTCACAAGTAGTGGATAGAATTAGGGTACCAAAAAGAAAAATATATATATTCATCTTTCCAATAATACAAAGGTTTTGGCTGTTGCAACCTTTTCTTCATGTGCAGACTTCACCCCAATATAACTGTGTCATGCTTCTGGTGCTCTGCAAAACTCAAGTACAAAATTAGACCTTTTTCGATATTACAATACAAAGATAGAAGTAAACCGTTTTGTCAAGGGCAGGATAAACAGCCAATGTTAAAGGATTTATCACACAAGTTTGGCTAGAAAAGAGGCCAATGGAGCACGTCAGAGCAGCGGGGCGAGCCTGGTGGGCAAGGCTGCAGGCAGCATGATGTACCAGACACAGCAGAGTATACAAGGCGGGGACGTGTGAATAGTACACAACATGAATAACGACAATAGGAAACAAAGGAAAGAAATTAGGGGAGATATGAGATAGAAAACCTGTCCAATAATAAATCCACTTCCCACCAATAGCCATAAGGAGGAAGTAGAGTGATTCTTCTTTTTAAACTTAACAGATATTAGAGTCAGAATTTCAGACAGATGAGATCGATGATGGATAGATGCTTTAGGAGGAGTGGAGGAAGCGGTTGAAGGCATTGTAGGCCGACTCCAGATCAAACAGCATCTGGCGCACTTGATTATCATCCAACTCGTCTGAGGCTGACATGCTGCTGAGGGTGGTCAGCCTGGTGGGAACAAATAAAAATCAATGTACAAAATCGTTAATACTTCTGCACAAGTTTAGCACTACTAGGGATCAGTGTAGCAACTTTATGCTAAAGTAGTTTAACTTACAAAGTAACTTCTTGATTTTCATTCTAATATTCTAAGGAAAGTTATCAGGAGCACCTTTTGGGAAACCAAGCTCTGTGTTTGTAATACCTCATATACTTAAAGTTACCCTGTTTGTGACCACTTGTAATGCTACAGAACAACATTTTTACATCCTGGTTGCCGTTGTTGGATGGATGTATGCAAACAACACCACAGGCCACGTTTATAATAATTTTAAATATGCTAAGTTGTGGTATGAGTTGTGAAAGACAACTTAAAAAAGAGCTTTCATGTTTGTCATTTGTGTGATGCTTCAGCACAAGTTATCTGATCTGACTCCATGAGTTTGCTGTTGAGGAATGTGTACAGGTCTGACAATGCTCGGCTGTGTCATGAAAGGTTAAACACATATTTACCATGGTAAATATGTGTTACATTACAACATTACAAATTGTTTCATGACCAACTTATGAGGAGTCCAAACTATTGAAAAAAATGTCTAAAATACTAACTATCAATCTAGGATCCATCTAAGGTATAAAAATTACATATTTGAACATGGCTATCCCTTAATAAAGTTAGAATTATATTAAAAAATTAAGGTAGCAGGATGGTACAATAAGGTTTAAATGTAAGCACTGACAGTTCGAGACACATTTTTTGTCTGACTTGTTAAACCACATTTACCCAGAAGACATATCTGCTGCAAACAATCACACGTGGACTGAATGAGCGAAACTAGTACTAGTTTACCTCGTGGACACCTGTCATCACAATCATCCTCACCTGAGGAAGCGTGTGTGTGTGTGTGTCACTGTGACTACAGTTGCACTGAACTGGCACAGGGCTTAACAATATAAACAATGCAAACAGGGTGGCTCAGTGTAACTAACCAGAGGCTGACTTTGTCTTTAGCCTCTGAGTCTGGAGGCATGTTGCTCATTCTGTTCATGGTTTCCATCAGTTCCCTCAGGTCTGGCTGGATCTGGAGCAATGGAAAATAATCAATTAAGCAATTGTTTTAATTGTCTTTTATTTAAGTTTTATACTTTTTATTTTATTTATTTACCTCATCCATGGCCCTGATCTCCAGTCTCAGCTTGTCCATCACAGTGATGAAGAGCTGGAGGTTAAAGAAGGTGAGAGAAAGTGAAAAACGATGAGACACTGCTCAACATATTTTCCAACTTCCAGTGTCAGCAACAGGAAATCCGATTTTTTTTTTACTGTCAGCAACACAAACAGGGTACACAGTCTTTGCCAGTATCACACTGTCGACCCACTGATTTTATTAGTTTGTCTGACTTTATGAGCTGAGATCAAAGTTGGCAGTGGATATAGCTGGCAACATCCATTCAGATTCTTCAATTACTGACCAGAGGATGCGCCAAATGAAGTGAAGCCACTTCAGCCACTTAGTGCTTGAACTGAACACACTAAATCATTTTCTAAAAAAAATCCAACTGCAACAATTTGTATTCTGGCACACGTACAAATTTAGCTTCTGACTGTTCAATATGATGGAGGGGAAAGAGGACGTACAGAAACTATATCTGCAATGCAGCGGTTCAGGTTGCCCTTGTCATCCTTGATGGTGATTGGCCGATCCTCTTTAATCCTTTCCATGGCTAGCGGGCAGTCGAGCTAGGAAACAAAAAGACAGGAGTAACATCCTTACTAAGACATTACCAGAAATGCCTAAAACAAAACAGGTAGATGGGTTATGAGAATGTTCACAAACACAAATCAAATGTGTCATAAAATCATCTGTGCTCCGATGAGAACTCACTCTGTACTTCCTGCAGAAATCATCGATGGAGCCCACATCAGAGCCCTGCACCTGTTTGAACGCAGCCTTGTACTGAACCAGCAGTCTGGAACAGGAAGCAGTGTACCTGAAAACAGACAACACATTAACAAAAACATTTAATCAAAGTCGCAGGTGGTATTTTTGTCTTGTAAAACACAAAATACAAACTCACTCGTTAGGTGTGACACAGTCCTTGATGTAAGCCTTCTCCAGGGCCTGAAGGGTCTTGACGACAGCAAACAACTCTGCCATGTTGTCATACCTTCAGACACAGGGTTAATAATGAAGTGTTACAACACGCTATGCATCTCTATGTTATTGTGTGTTCACGTCAGGCTGGTAACTGGTAATGTATGTGACACTTACTTCTCTCGCTCTCTCGCATTTTTGTATAATTTCACTTCCTGAAAAGACATGGTTTCTGGTGAGGGCTTTGATATTTCTTAACAAGTAGAATATTTCACATATTTCTGATTTTGGTTCTGTTTTAATCAAGCATTGCTTGTAGAAGTTACAGCCATATAATTTAAAAAAAAGTCTTTTTGCCTTTCACGTAAATTTCATACAATTAAATAAAAAAATATAAAAGATCATATAATTGTAATTAATGACTGTGTTTCGTGAAGGTTTATATACATTAAAAATCCTGTTTGCCAAGCATTAATTAAATGAGTTATGTTTACCTCATACAACTCAGGTTTATTGGCCGGAGCTGCGGGGGAAAAAAATATTACATGCTTTGAGTGACATCAACTGTCGTTTACAGGTGTTGATTGCACAATCTGAGTACCTAAATGTATTGACTGTTAATTTAATAGGTTTATTTGAATGTCTTACCTCCTCCCACACCTCCCGTAGCTGGTATCCCATGAAACATGATGCTGAATTATCAGAACGTGATCTGAAAAAGATTTATGTTACAATTTGTCAAATAACTGACTAATAATCGTCACCAAAACCCCAACCTAACTGAACTGCGAAGCTTTCCCAACAAGTTCAAGTTATAGTTTAAATACTGACTTACAGGAGCTTTTCTCTCAGAGTGCTATTGATATGAGATGTGTGTCCAATGCAAGAGCTGCTCTTTTAATACTACAGGGGAGTGTAACAACAAAAGCAGTGCTCAAAGGATTGGAGAACAAATTAAAGACACTTTCTGTTCTTGCTGCCAAGCCGATTGTTTACAATGATTGTTGGTATTTTTGGTATTATGGTTTCTTTCTGACTCACTTGTTCACTTCACAAGCATCACACAAAATTAACTCTTTTACGCAGTAAACATTTAACTTCAGCAAAGTCGCAACTTCACATAGCAAATGCCAGATATGTAAAACACCGCAGTAGCTCAGTCTGTAGGGTCACAGGTTCAAGTCCAGCACAGAGCACAGTATGGACTGGTGCCAGTTCCACCTCCTGTGCACTGCAATGTTGCCCTTGAGCAAGGCACCTAACCCATTACTGCCCTGTGTGTGCAGAAATATATTTGAGGACTATGTGTGTAAAAATATTTTCCCCCAATGGACATAAATAAAGAAAATCATCTTCCTCTGTTGTTTGGGCCAAAAGAGATGCATCATGATTCAGGTGGCTTGTCACCTGACCTTAGCTAAACAATTCCCTTAGGAAGCGTTCACAGATATTTCTGGCACTGACTGCAACATAATAAAACCGGATCAACGTTACAGGGGTCTCCTGTCAGGTTCATATTCAATTTCAATTATTCATCAGGGAAATGGCAGAATTCATTCTCAACCTTAGGTTTCTTTTTTGTCCCGCTTTAGGGTTGACAGGCAGCTGTTATTCTTTCCTCAACTCAACAGATGAACACCACAATTGTTGTGTTATAGGAACAATTATATGGTGTTAACGTTATAAAAGACTGTTCGCTGGTCAGAACATCAGTCCGATAAGAACAGGTTGGTTACAGTAACAGGATGCTTCCAGGTCGACTTTAAAAACGTTGTTTCGTTAAACATTAACATTTACGCGAATAACTCCCAATGATGATCAGAGAAACATCTGAAACTGCTGCAGAAAACCGATCATCGGCCTTTTAATATCTTGTTTTGCCGAACAAGCTAGCCTGAAGTTAGCTGTCGAGGCTAGCTCGTTAGCACTTCCTTTATGATTTACTATAAAAGGTCCTTACAGGCGTTTGTTTGGACACACTGAACTTTGTATTAGTGTGTCATTATTGTAGTAGCAGGTAGTTTTAACGCTACTTCAATGTCAGAGTTTAATAAACGACATTTAAAAACATTTTACTCACCCTGTCGGTAAACTGCTGTGACGTCAACGTAAACACACCCTCCTGTGAGGACCAGCAGACGTCAACATATTAGGTGTCCCGTGTGCCTTACTAAAAATGTATAATTTTTCAAGTTTAACACTGGCTTATCTAAACGTTTGTAGTTTATTTGTAGGCTACCTGTATCACATAATGTAAAGAAGCGGTTCCAGTAAAGAACAGAGTTTAAGGCTTTACCGCCTTTTATTGTTTTCACACAGTCAAACGTCAGGGCAGCTCATCACCGAGGCGCCAGACTCAAACAAACTGTACGAGGAGTGGTTTGTGAACAAAAAGACAGCTAGTTCATCAAGTTAGATAAAAATAAGTTAGTTTAAATACGCGTAAAGGAAAGCTGAAAACATTCCTGTGCAGTTTTATGAGAGCAGTCCTTCTCTCTCCATCATGAAGACTTCCAAAGCAGCTCTGAAGACTTCTGCTCAAGAGGAATGTGGTGTTTGGCTGGACACTGCGCAACTGAAACAAAAAGCCAAACAGGTAATTGTGTAAAGTTAGCTTTAAATTCTGACCTCTCAATAAAGCAGGGAGTTCATATATTTAATAACTTTTACACAGCAGATGATCATAACACACACACTGCCACTTATATCACGATTAGTAAGTTAACATACTCTCATTAGTAGCTTCTTAATCTGTTATGTCACTTAAGTGTCTTAATAGGTTCATATTGATCATATTATGTTTCAGAAACGACTCGCCCGTCCCATTTCTAAACTGCTGAATCCCTTCGCTGAAGGTGGAGGATACAATTTGGCCGTGGCACTCAACTTCACTCAGACCAAACTGGAAATGCCAAAGACCAAACAGAGCTCTATATCAGCCTTCTTCACAGCTCAGCGCAGAGGTGAGTTGCGAAAGCTGTACTGCCATCAAGTTGTCGAGACACTTTCTTAGGATTATTATCATCTTCAGCTAAATCAGTCAGAAGCTGATAAAGCTACAGTAGACTGACCTGCATCCATTTCTTTTTGTGCTAACATAATGCTTTTTTATGCCTTCTGTCTAAAGTTCTCAATAAGATGTCTACTTCTGAAGTACCAATCATGGATCCAGCGCTGCCTTCTTCATCATCTACCTCGTCCACCTCGTCCACATGTGCCTGGACTGCACCAACACCTGTAGCATCAGGAGCAAAACGAAGACGTGAAATAGATCTTGAGCCTGGTCTGGATCGTGACTGGAAAAGTGAGCTTGTTACTGAGCCTGAAGCAGCAGTGTGGCCGGAACAGGCAGCAAGCCATACACCTTCTCAAAATGTGTACTGTGAACATGAAGAAGAGATGAATCCACCGCAGAGTAAGAGGAGGATCACTGCCGCCTCATCAGTGCCAGGTGACAGTCAACCTCTTCCACTGACGTGGAGTCAGGACCCACTGTTCACCTGCAGCCAGTATTCTGAAGGTGAATTTTACCTGACTAACCAGAAAAACACTACAGCACAGAACTTTAGCGACTCAGAGCCGAGTTTCTTTAACAGTCTGCAAAACGAGGAGGCCTTTGGTGTTCATATGGATGTGGAAGGGAGAACCTCGACTCAAAAATCATATAAACGCGTTCGTTGTTCTCAGGAGGATGATGAGAAAGAAAACAGCAGGTTTTTGTCTTTTAAGTCCCCAAGTAAACATTCAGCGCTCTCTCATATTGACCCTCTTTCAAGTCATAAATGGACAGAACCAAAAACTGCATCACCTCGAAAACATATTCCAGTGCACCTGTGGACAAAGGCTGATAAAGAAGACAGCCATGACTCACAGTTCGAGTGGAAAAAACCTAGAAGCTCTCCCCTAAAAAAACTAACCTCACAGAAGTCATGCAGAGCGGTTGATGAGGACAGTCTGGCCATGTTGTTCACCCAGGACTCTGAGGGCTTCAGGGTGATAGCGCACAGAGGTCTGCAAACCAGGAGTCCACTCAAAGATCAGAGTAACATAAACACTGGAACGGTGAGAACTAGTGCTTACAAATCTCTGGTGGAGGAGGACGAGGAAGACGAGATGCTCTTTACTCAAGACTCTCAGGGAAATCTGGTGATCAAACACTGAAAGCAGCTTTTGACTCAGTAGCAGGAGTCTTATGTTGTTATAGTCTGGCAGTGGATAATTGCTCTCAACTTTTTAATGTCATATAGATGTTTTTCCCTGTTTCATCTTTAGATCTTGTATTTTCCTGGAGGTTTTAATAATATTTTCTTCCTCTTTCGGTCTCTAATGCGGAAATGTCGTACAAGGTGCAACTCTCTCGTGCAACAACACCAACAAGCAAGAACTGAGGGTTTTGATTTTATTTGAAAAATGATACACAATTACATCAAATTGTTTTCATGTAAATTAAAAGTTTGGAAAAGTATTAGTGGTGTACAGTATCTTCTCCCTTATGCTGGTGCCAAGTGCTACATCTTACAAAACAGAGTGGTGTACAAAGTAATATAGAGACTATAGGTAATGGGTACTACTGTTAGTATTTTAAGGTGTATAAATGCAGCACAGTTACTTATTAAAAATTAGTATCCATGTATTTAGTTGATTGTTTTGATCAAGTTGATCTAACGTCTCCTGACATTGTTACATCCATCTTTCCGGATTGATTATGCTTCACATACAGTATTATGCACTAGCAAAACTGTGACCTCTGCTGGTAATGCAAAATATAGTGAACAGTGCTGCATAAACTTCACTTAGTGAAATATGTACTACATGACTACCATGCACTATACACAGTTAGAGAGGCAGCTAAATACATTTCATTAGATAGACAATATACTAAATAGTCCTACACTTGACTCCAAGTTATCCCTGTCTGCTTGGCCACTGAATGTCGTATGTGTGTGTTGTGTAATCTTTAGCTTTTTCTGTAAAATAATGTGTGACTGCAGTGGTCTAATTGTGCCTCAACGTTAATACAATGAGACACAAAAATGAATGTAGATGAAGTACAGTCAGAGTGATGGTAATCCAGAAAAAGTTAGATGAGAAGATAATGGGATTTTGAAGACAGTTACTTATTCTTACATAATGCCTTTGTTGCTTATGGCACAGAAATGTAAGAAAGGGTAAATACATTAGGATTGTGGGATTTAAACCTGAGATGTCAATTTACTTTTAGAGAGCAACAATCAACCTACTCACTGGTTATTTATAATCAACAGTTTCAAAGTGCTAGAGAGAGACATCATTAAGTCACAAATACAGCAACAAGGAGAGGATCAAAAGTTAATCTGTTGCAGTGGCTGCGTATGAAATCCCTTTTATGTCTCTTAAACCCAATAAAATCAGGGGACGGAAAGATTATCTTGTTTTAAAATCAGTGGTGATGATGATGATTGGTGTTCTGGTGGTGATGACGATGAAGCATCAATCAGCCTGCAATCTCAGTGGGTTCTGTCACCAGTTTGGAGCCGTCCCAAACAGTCTTGAACTGCTCTGGTACTGGAAACTCCCTCTGTAGAACAACCAAGAAGAAAATTGTTAAACAAGAACTGCACACGTGAAAGATTCAGGAAAACATTGGATTAACACATCAGAGAGAGGCCAACACAGTCTGTCTCTTTGTCCCTTATCTCAGACACTCACATATTCGTCATCTTGTGGTACCATGATGTTCATCTCAGAGCTCTTGGCACTGACGATGTCACAGTTGAGGGAGTCCTTACTCAGGTAGACCTGGCAGCCCTCGGTCTTGTTGATGGAAATGGTGGGAACTGTTCCCAACACCTGCAGAAAGACATCTTACAGTTACTGTCAGGCAGAAGTACACACATAGTACAAAGTACAAGCTCTGAAATGTACTCAAAGTATAAAAGTACTCTCTCGGTTTCTCTGACGGACAGTTCTGTGCAAAGATAACTGAAACTTCAAATAGGAAGAAGTATCTCTCGGTTTTTTTTTTCGTCTTGTTTCGTCATCACATCTTTTACATAATTTTTGTCATGTTACATCTGTCATGTGTGATATGCACCAGCTTTGATGTTGGGAAGGTGTGCAATGATGCAAAATAGGAATCATAATACTCGATAATTCCCTTCAAATGTATTAAAACTAAAGTAAAAGTAAAGTAAGTAGAAGTGTTTTGAAAATGTAAGTACAAAGTAAATGTAAAGAAAAAGACATAAAATTAAATACTCAGTAGTATTTAAGTAAAGTACAGATACAGTAATGAGATATTTGAACTTTGTTACTTCCCACCTCTGCTGGAAGGTGTGTGTGGTACAATTTGCAGTTTAAGATAAACAACAAACATAAACTGATGTCAACACAAGATAACAGAAATATGTAATACCTGACTGCTAGATAGGAATATAATAGTGTTTATAATAGTAATCTCACCTGTAATTGAATTGCCTTCGAGTTGATGATCTCCACAATCCCAACGACGTTCTCAAAAACCAAACCCAGTTTCTTACAGTTGTCTGGAGGGAGTCAACGCACGTGGAGATTAAAGAACATCATAATCAGAATTTATTAACTTAATCACAAAAGCAATATTCCCAGCCTGTTTTCAGCTCACCTATGATGATTGAGTTAATTTTGCCCTTAATCTGCAAGGTGGAGTTGTTGCAGTTGAAGACGTAGGCCACTTGTTTCAGCTCCGTCTCCTCGATCACCAGGTCGTGTTTCTGCTCAAAGTTCTCCTGCAACAGATTCAATCAATAATCTGTGATATTGGCTGACCTCAGTGGTAGAAAATACAGTGTCTTCCTTCTTGGAATAATCCCTCAAAGAGAAAGTAAACATTTCACGTACCACCCTCCATTTTTTCCCGTCCAGCTCCAGCAGAGGGGGTCTTTTCTGGACGGCTGCTTTGGCCGACTTTGCGGTACCTGGGGACTTTGTTTTGGTCGGTGTTGCTTGCGATCGCAGATTCGGGTTCTTATGGGTCTTCTTGTCTTCTGATACGTGCTTCAGACCTACAGATGGAAAATAGGAGGAGGTCATGAATCTTAACTCCCTCAGCACTGTCCCACCAACCTGACAAATGTTAAACCAGCCAACAACAAAAAACTCTCTACAATTATTTTATTTAAAGGAAACACAACTGTTCAGTTACATTTCTGTAAACTATATTTCACTACATTATGGTATAATTCCTTTGGAGAACACTTAAACATTTTTATTTTATTTATTTGGTGGGTTTTTGCTTGAAATAGTAAGGAAGAGAGATTTTAAACCAACCTGTATAAACCTGGAATATAACTACCTACTCATGTGATTAAAACGTTTTTTTCTTCTTTATGACTTTCTATATTGTTGTCTATATTTCAGTATAAGTGTATAGTTACTTTTTATTTATACCATTACCACCATTTATGACTCTATTGAGAGTGCCATTGTACAGAACAGGGACAGTAAAACGTTGTGTGCTCTCAGGCCCTTGAGGTTAACCCACCTTTAGTGATGTCCATGCCCTGGTTGAGCTGGGCAAACAGCGCTGAGTGCGGGGCCGGCGCACCGCCCGCCTGAGGCTGGGAGTCATCATCAGTGAAGACTGGAGGAGGGCCGGGGGGAGGAGGGGGAGGTGGGGGACAGGGAGCACTGGGGACGGTGGGGGGGTCAAAGAGAGAAGGAGGAGCAATGGGGCCCTGGGGGTGATGATGGAGAGAGTAAAAGGTTAGATAGCAACATTGCATTTTGGCCTTGTGAGCCTCTCATGAGAGAAAACACAGCGGTGCCAGGTGTTTGGTGGATAACAGCTGTAATGATGAATCTCTCCAGCAGGGGGAGTATTGCACAAGGAATATCTTAAAGCTTGGTGGCAATAATTCATGTCTTTTTACCATAATTGACTGTGCTTGGGATGTACATGTAGATTAAACTGTTCTTGAGATTTTGACGAGAGTATTTTTAGTGCCAGAAGATATTTAGATGATGGGGAAGCACTTTTATTTCCCTTTAAGTAGCTTTAATGTTGTTACTATAAAACCATCTAAGTCCTCTCTGTCTGTCAGGCCCACTTATATATTCTTTACGCACACACACACACACACACACACATACACACACTTGCTGTCTGAAGACCTTGCACAGCTGCCAGACACACACCCATCACAGGGGTTGAACTGTCACTTTACGCGCTTCTGAGTACAGCTGAGACTACTTGACCTTTGACACGAGGCACATGTGCCGTGAATATCACTGCTGAACAATGCTGACCTGTTACACTAAACAGCTCAGCGCATACCACTGGATTACAACCAGCACATGTGTGTGTGTGTGTGTGTGTGTATGTGTGTGTGTGTGTGTGTGTGTGTGTGAGTGTTCATGCATGGCTGTAAAACTGTCTGACTGCTCCTTTGTGTCCGTGCCTGTGTTTGTGTGTGTATGGGTGTACACAAACACGTTCGTTAAACTTTTTTGTTAGAGAGTATTTTCTGTTCTGTTTAAGGGCCGTTTGGTCGTTTTCGTCCATTAATAAGTCGTAACACTATGATGAATTTCATTTTAAATCCTAATATAAGACTAATTATCAGAGACATTTCGTACGGCTTTTGACTAGAGCTGAAACAAAGAATCAATTGACAGAAAATTAACTGGCAACTATTTTGATAATTAATGAATTTAAGTAATTTTTCAAGCAAAAATGCCAAACTTTCTCTGGTTCCAGCTGTTTTTTTGTGTTATAAACTGAATATCTTTGAGTTTTGGGCCGTTGGATGGACAAAACAACAATTTATCAATTAATTAAGGAAATAATTGTCAGATTAACCAATAGTGAAAATCATTATTTGCAGTCTAGCTGTATTGATTTGTTTTTGGTCAAAAGTCACCTCAGTTTTGTCCTTCAGAACGTACTTAAACTGCTTATAGGACAGTTTGAACAAATATATATCACTAATAAAGTGCTTAATAATAATAATTTTGACGTCCTCCCATGTTTTAAATTTCATTCATGTTTTAATTAAAATGTAAAGTCCCTAATGTGATTGGTAGTGCGTCCATATGTCAGCCTGTGCATGTCAGAGTATAAGCGTGTCACTAAACCCCTATCCGAGCAGCAGATGACGGCTGCGTTGAAGGGGGGACCAGCCCTGCAGTTTAGGTTACGGCGCAGGGCCGCGTGTGTACACAGAGTCTTTGTCGGGGTTCTTCTGTGAAGAAACCCTCCATTCAAGTAAACCCTGAGGACCACCTGTTAGTACCACACACTCCGGGCCTTGTACGCACACACACTTCAGCTCTGTCGTCTGATGGCAGGGACAGCAGCTGACACACACAACCACTGCAGGCTCTCAAGTTTCCGAATGTCGAAAAACAGTTGTTGAGCATTAGCTTCACCCGAGGTTTTAATCATTTGACGTTAAAGGAACAGTTTAACATTTTAGGAACTACGCTTATTCGCTGTTGCCGAGAGTTGGATGAGAAGATTGATACGACTCTTATGTGGTAGACATGGAGGTACAGCTAGCTTCGTTTATCATAAAGACTGGAAACATACGAAAACAGTTAACTTGGCTCTTTCCATCCATCTCTAAAGTACTAATTAACACCTTAAATACTGTTTGTTTAATCTCTTTAATTGTTGTAAGTAGTCTAAGTGTTTGTATTTCTTTGTTGGGACCAGTAACTTCCTGGAGTCTCTGCTGGTTGCCTGGCAACTGCTCAGAGGCAAGAAATAACCCTGTAAAACTTCAATTTGTTGTTTTTACACGTCCATTTTCACAAGGATTAAATAAATTAGAGAGAGCATTTTAATTAGTGAGTCGAAGAGGTTTCTGTTAAGCCAGATTTTGTTACCTTTGGACAGAGCGATGCTAACTGTCTCCTGGTTGTAGCTTTATATCTTCTTTACAGACATTAGAGCGGTACTGATCAGCTCATCTAACTCTATGCAAGAGCAAAACTAAATAAAATAAAAGCAAATAAGTGGAATTCCCAAAATGTTTAACTTTCCCTTTAAAAAAAAAGTTGCACCATAACTTTTCCGAGAAGTGTTTTTTCTGTGGGCATTAGACGTCAGTCAGCTTCTCGTCAGTGAATAAAGATGAGAAACCCTTCTAGCTAACAAGAAAAGGGGTCAAGTGTGTGTTGAAGGATTTGGTTTCGAGCCATCCTATTTCTCTGGGATATAGTGAGTGTAAGTGCAGAGGAGTCCCCATGAGCAGACATCCATAAACAGAAGTGTGCGGGGGAGTGACAGAGGTTTTGTGAACTCTATGGAGAACCACGGGGTGCAGCCACTGGAGAGAAGCTCATTCATTCATTCATGTTCTCCGCAGTGGTTTATGTAATCGGGTGCTCCATAACTAAAAATGGAAGTGGACGCAAAAAGTAGGAGTTAATTTAGGCTCTGATGTAAAAATATAAATGCCTGCGAATGGAAACTAAATGAAAACACAGCTAAGATAATAAACAAGTTGTTATAGGAGAAATTTATTGTGTTCAAGCAAGTGTATTAACATTTAAGAAGCGGGGCTGGAGGATGGCTGAAAGTGCACATTTACATTCTTACAGGAGGTGTATATGTAATAATAATAAAGTGTTTAATAAATGAACAGATGCATGTAGTACTCACACTCTTGCTCCACACCAGTCCTGTAGTGTGGTGCTGTTTGATGAAGGACTGCACCTCGGTCCAGATTGACAGGTAGGAACGCACCCAGTCCACATGACGTCTGTCACTGGGAGAAAAGACAAGGTTGGTTGAGAGGGGGAGACAACGCTTTGACAGGAAAACAGGGAGTAAGCATTAAGGGAGGAAGAGGATGTGAGGATGGATCGGTGCAGTGGATCACAAACAATGTATTGTGGTTGTAAACAAACTAACCAAACACATGTTTCTAGAATACTTAATGTGCTATTTAGTAACCAAAATGTCGCACAGTGAAGCACATATGAAGATATGAAAGGTATATAAAGAAACCTTTGAAGCTCACAATGTTTAAATACCAGTGGATCTGCATGTTGGACCATTTTACTCATGACAGATTATATCACAAGTAATCACATGGTTGTGTTTCATATATCATTCCTACCATTACAGGCAGACACTGCTTCACATTAATGTCTGTACGATATGATTCTTCATATCTGCCTGAACTTTGAACGGCTGATGTTTTGGCCTGACTTTGTTGTCCATTTGAATACAATTTGTGGTTTGGAGTCAATATATACTTTTAATTGATGCTGCCTTTTTATTTTCCTTGTACCTACGTAATGTGAGTATTATTACACTCCTTCAATTAATCTTTCAAGGGTTAATTAAACAAATCGACACTGTAATTTATCTGCATTACCACTAAAAGATACTGTAACACAAATTAATCAAAAATGAATGCAAACTTAAAGATCCAGTGTGTAACATTTAGGAGGCAGAATATATGAATATAGGAATTACTATGTTTTTATTCTCTTAGAACGAGCTGTGTTTATTTTCAGACATGGGTTGCCTTCCATTGTCCGCCATATTGAACCAGCATGTTTCTACAGTGGCCCAGAACAGACAAACCAAACACTGGCTCTAGGTAGGGCTGTTTGTGAATGTCGTGGCCACTGTCGTTTCTCCTACACACTTCCCAGCCATTCTCATTCTCAGGTCGTCAAATACAGACGTGTGTTGTTTAGTCTGCAACTTCACCACAAGATGCCACTAAATCCTACACACTGGTCCTTTAATGTTCGCTGTGATGGATAACACAGCTCAAGCATATTTGAATAGTCTGCATATTCACTGTCATACTGGGCAGAAATGATTGTAAACAATGTACAACAAATAAAAGAACTCTGAAACTCTTGATTATAGTTTGCAAATTCAGAAGTAATGTAAACTATTTATGATCTGTGTAAAAAGGCTAAAACATGTAAAATCACTGTTATGATTCTGGCAAAAAGAAGACCACAATGGCTGCATAATCTAAAGATCATCCTTCAGTGACACGTGCACTTATCGTGAAGAACTTATTACATATACAGCACTTACGTCTCCTTGTAGTCCTTCAGCACTCTGTTGGTGTAGAAGGTGGCAGCATCATTCATCTCTTTCACATATGGACCCGGCTTCTGACTCTGAGAGACATAAAATGTTCATTAGAGAACACTTATCTCGCTTTCAGTGTCACAGAAGCACTGTGAGGTCTTATTTATTTCTACTGACCCTTCATTTGAGAGTGACATGCAAAAAAACCTCATGGTGATATAGTGAGTTTCCGTGGGGAAAAGTCCCCTCCTGACAGCAACGTACACTGAACAGAGCCAGTTCCAGATGTTTTCCTACACAAGTGGAAAAGCTTTGATATTAATCTAAATGATATTCATCCCCAAACTCAGTGGAAGAGATTTTGTTCTGATGGGAAACAGAGACTAAGAAGAAGACAACATGGTAGGGTGTGTTTATTTATACTCATCTGTCTGTATATATTATTTAATTTGAATTTCTGGGTAAAAGCAGTTAGTTTTACTTCTTATTTCAACCTTGCCTGAGTTTAACTTTTAGGTTTTTGATGATTTTATAAACATAGTGTCAATGTCACGTACTATCAGTGCTTCTAAGTTGAAATTGTTCAAATTTATGGTTACTTGAACAGTAATTTATATTATCCTTGAGTACAGTGTTATCTGTTTATAACTACGTGTCTGTGTGTTATGTTTCTTTAGGCTGATAAACATCATCTTACGTGTGTTTATCTGTAAACATTTGTGTGTTTGTGTGCACGAGAGTGCGTAACTCTCCTTACCACAGCTACCCAGCCAAGAGCAGGGATGCTCTCACTGACGGCCGACAGGTGGTTGAAGAGGCTGCTGCCGCGGTTTCGTTCTCGGAAGCTCTGGATCTCCTGGATGTGATCCGAAATTGGCTTGAGCAGGTCATTAAACTCCATCTGCAGAAGAAGAAGAGAGGGAGAAGAAGAAGAAGAAGAAGAAGAAGAAGAAGGTAGGAATTAGGATAAGACAGCAGGAGAAGTGTCAGTGTGAGAGGAGAATGCATGAAGATGAAAGAGGAGGAATCAAATCACAAGAAGTCCTCAAACCAAAGAATTATCTTAAACATGTTTCAGATACTTTTGAGTTTACAACCCCAGTGTTGTTTCCCTGCTGAGCCATACCCACCCTGCTCTCAGTGCCACTCAGTTATTCCTAAACTAGGCTACAGGACAGTAACTAATTTTATTAGACAGAGCCTTTTTCCATTGGAACTTCCAGATCTCAGCTACAGTATAGCTGCTCATTTCCCAGTTCTCAGCTCCCCTCCCCATCGCTTGGTTTCTACAAACATTCCTCGGTTCATGGGGAGATCCCTCTGGCCTTGTAAGGCATACCGCTCCTCCAGTGTTTACAGTTTACCTACCATGCGCCTGCACACACATAGATTCAAGAACACAATGTTTTATTGGTCTTCTTGGATTGCTGCTGCAGCTTTCTTTTTCTGATCTGCAGTGAACTGGTGGCTATGTGAAATATTTACTGCTAATGAGCTGTGACAAGATTATTTCTTTATTCAGATGAGGAGTAGAAGCAAACACTGGTCTGTTGAGGAGGAAATTGATTAATCACATGCAATTAAAATAAGCCAGCATAGTTACCTTGATAACATCAGTAGATTGCATATGTGAGTGGTTTATTCCACAGCCCATAGTTCATTTGTGTGTGTATGTGAAACATGCCTGTCTTTCTTATATACGTATATACTGTATGTAAGCAGGTGTGATGCTGTATATGAAAATTCATGGCTGTCTGCCTTTGTAATTTTATGCTAGCGTGTAAAGGAGCAATAAAAACAGAATAAGCGTTCTCCTTTTTTTCCCAACAAATTCTTCCCCCAATCAGATGCACATGATCTCCATAAGCTGAGATAGACGCTCCTTTCTCTGCTCCTCCAGCTTCTCACTAAAGCCTGTGCTAATATCTGTGTGCGAGCAGCTTTGAAGCAATATCTCCTGTCCAAAACATATGCAAACTACAAATAGAGACATACTGTGTTTGCTGAGTAGGAATGTACAGTACAGGTAACATATCAGGTGATTGTTCCATCGCCTTTCTCCCCCATTAGTCAGTTTATTCTTTCAGTTTTCAGTGTTTATCTGACCAACCAGTTCCATTTGTCTTCACTATTTCTGCAACTAAAGATTATTTTCATTATCAATAATTCTGCAGATTATATCTTCAATGAATCGATTTGTTGTTTTGTCTAGAAAATGTTCAAAAATCATAAAAAATGCCCATCATGGATTCCCACAACTCTAATCAGTCTAATCAACAGTCCAAAGCATTCAAACTATAATACACAACAAAGAAATTGATTTAAATCTACTTGAAAAGCCGCAATCAGCATGTGCTAAAACAGATTTTAATAATTAATTAATCAACTGATCATTAAAGTTCTCCTCTTTATATGAAAGTTAATAAAGAGCAAATGCACATTCTCCCACGACTGATTGCGTCCATTAGGGATGTCTGGCCTTTGTTACACAACAACAACACAACAACAACACAACAACAACAACAACAACAACGTCATCATGGCTTCCACTGAAAGCACGACTCGTATTCTCTGAGTCCGAGTGTGGACTTCCCCTCACTCAATCATGCTGCACAGTGATGAGAGAGACAGATATGGGCCGAGACAGAGCAGAGAGAAGAAGTAAGGTGCAGACAGCACTCATTCACTATTCCCAACTGCACCGTAACCTGTACATTTACATGTCGGCATCAAGTCAGAACAGGAGCGGGAGTAAATATGTCCACTTTAATACGCTTCAGCAACTTACCAACAAAAACATTCCTAAGCACAAATAAATCTACATTGTTCCTACATATGGCAGCGTTACATAGAGCACCTCTCAGCAGGTCCAAGTTTCAGTATGTCGCAGAAAAATCAAACCACAAACAAGCAAACGTGCTGTTGTGAAATGTGGCCGAACAACTTGAATCAGCACAGTGATTTATAATTATAACTGCTCCTCAGGCAGATTTCAGTCTAAAAATACAAACTTACATATAAATGGGGATAAGAAGTCAACTGAAGCAGGCAGACAGACAGAAAGAGAACGAGCCGACAAAAGGATCAAAAATGTCGGCTCACATTATTTGATGCTTAGTGTGTTACAATAACGCAGCGTCCGAGCCTTGACTTCCTATACAAGCAGCGGATCAAAGGTAGAGAGTGGAGGGCGACAACGGCAGAACAGCTGTAGGATGGTTTTTTTTTTTTAAATCTGTGAAAGTCCACAAAGTGTGTGTGAAACTGGCAACAGAGACACAGAAACACACACCCACACAAACCAAAGTTAACAGGCCAACTTGAGGTCACACGAGGGAGAGAGAGGCTTACTTTCTTTTGCTCTCTCGCTCTCTTTTTGTCTCACACTTTATCTAACACACACTGACAACAGGCTCAAATATAGAACATGCCCATAAAAAGTCAGGGAGCACAACAGCGCTGTGCTGCAGAGAAAGGCCAGAAGTTTGTAAGCTGTATGTGTGTGTGTGTGTGTGTGGAGCACTGGTCAGAGTCACACACACTTTTCTTCCTCTGCCTGATCTGTATTGAGGACTGCAGATAGACATGAATGAGTCAGGTCGACAGTGTGAGTGTGTGTGCATTGAAGGGTTTATGGGTCATGTTGACTGTGTATAGAGAACTGATGTCCAAACCTTGTAAAGCTACAGTAGCCTGAGTGGACAATGGATTTTCAGTTATAGAGAGGCTAAGGCAGAAAAGACACACCAACCAATGTCTTGTCATTAAATATAAAACCCAAATTTAAAGGATTTAGTGCTATGTTGTCAATGCACACAGTTTTAACCCACACATGACCTACTCTGTATTCATACGACCATCTTGAGTTGTCAAATCTCCATCTCTACCTTTAATCCCATAAGATTTATGGAAAACCTTTATGAATGCTATCTATCTTAACATTTTACCATGCAGTACAGTTGTTTCACCAGATTCCAGAGTTGTTTTTTAGTTATTTGTTATAAGTTTTCAGCTGGAATTGCTGAAAAGCCTGAATGTTGGCAATTAAAATCAAAATCTAAACTAAGTAGTGTGTTGGTTTTTTTTACAGCAACAACCAAATCCTTTAAATGCATAGGCCTAATAATTACATTTTAAAGGCCCATCTGGCACTGTGTTAATCTTTTTTTATCGTTCCAGGAACTAACAAGGTAAAATCTTGAAAAAGACTTGAATGTTTTTTCTTTTCAAGTATCAAGTCGAGTTTTTAGGGAGTCTTCATTTCAGTCTAGAGTGTGTTTGTTCAAAAGGAGATGAAAGAAGTTCTCTAATAATTACATATTTGGAAAGGGGACAGGATTTACAGGAGTTCATCAGGTTCTTTTTTGTCCCCTTTTTCAGTGTTTAGTTTTGGGTTTACCCATTTGGCTGAATTTCATCTCCTCTTCCCTCATATCTCACCCCACCCCTCTCCTGGGGTCTGTCCCTCTCTCTCTGTAAAACCCTCACTCTTTCCTTGTTTGCATTTCAACAATCACTGATCGTGCTTTTCACCGCCTCTCAACCAATGACCTGACAGATAGGGAGTAATCACTTCCTGGTGGGCTCTGCGGATGCTGTAACACACACACACACACACACACACACACACACACACACACACACACACACACAACACAAACAGAAGGCCGATGGGATGATATCATATCAGCTCTCTCACACACACACACATACACAGACAGCTTTCTCTCCCACCCCCCACCCCTTTCTCTATACGTGAACATGTTGGGAATGTGTTGTATTAGCGTTTTCTTATTCAAAGAGCAGCGTAATCCCTCTGTGAACAGCCCGGCCTGCTGGGGAACACAGGAGGGGAGGACACACAGGACTGAGATACAGTTCATTCCTGTGACCGGCTGCTGTTAAATGATCTGATCTGATGCAATTTGTAACTGAATGTCATGAGACTTGTACCGTGCATCACCTGCTGCAGTCAACTGAAAGGTTTTTGTGCAGCTTCACTGTGAGACAATCATAGTGATGGTATCAAGTCACATGATGTGATTATTTCCACCTCCAATAATAGCACTGGATACGTGATGTTATCTTAAATCTTAATGACTTGACGGTTGGCACACATTATTTACGGTGTCTATAATAAACTTTTACTTTTACAATCCTTGTAGTAAAAGTTGTTTTGATTCAGTTAACAGTAAAGTTGCATGCAACTGGCAACCAAGTTGGTATACACTGTAGTTTTTAGGGGGCATTTATGGACCTTTATTTATAAGCCAACAGGAAATAAGGAGAGAGATGCAACAAGTCCTTGTGGTTTATGATTAGCATCCTAACTCCTAAAGGCCACCACGGTACCTCAAATCTTATAGTTTTACAGCGAAGGCCTCAAGAGTTAAGTGGAAAGTGTCAAGAATAACTGGAACACTGGCATATTTTATAGCTCTCAATCTTCAAGGCTTAAAAGCTTCCAAGGAAGGGTACTTCGGTCCCATTGTGTCACAAACATTTAAATGAATTACTGATATGTTTTTATTTATTAGTATTGAAACTGGTCTTTATGACATGTTCTGTTGAGATGAAATCGTTGCTTCACTGTTCTGCCCTGTTCATTCTCTGTGTCCCAAATGGTGGCCTGAGCCACTCCTGACATTCTCTGAGTTACACTTTTAGTATTTTTGTGGATTTTTGCCTTTAATTGATAGGACAGCTCATGATGGACAAGAAAGAGGATGAGAAGGGGGGATGACACTCATCAAAGATGGCATCTACCAGGTGAGCTACCGGGGCGCCTCGAGTTGCACTTGTCATGATCTGTTAGTTAATTGGTTTATTTTGATTGATTGACAGGTTCATATCGGTAGATTTCTCATTAGATCATTCAGTGTTAATACTCGGACCAGAGAAAAAACACACCTGCAATTCTTAAATTGGACTAAAAATAAGTAAAAAATAAATGTTATTCTATTGAAAGCATCAATTTAATATGGTATACAGAGCAGTCCCCCTGATACTTTTGGTAGCACTCACTCTCAGAAAGACTTCTATAGAAAATTTACATTTATTTATAATGAATAATGTAATCAAAGGTCCAGACAAATGTCCTGAGAATATACCTGACAGACTGGGTCAGCAGTGGTTGTTCAATGGGATAGGTGATGGATACCAAAGAATCAACACATTTGCAATGGAATGAATCACTGTGACAATTGGAGATCCTAACCACTAACATGGGTATTATGGGTATATATGGCAATATACCTTAACAGTGACCGTCAGTAGGTTTCAGTATGTTGTACCTGTGCAGGTTCCTGGTGTGTGGCAGCCATCTTGAGGAAAGTTCTTTGAGTCTGCAGGGCTTTGTTCACCATCTCCGCCTGTCAATCATAAAGAATAAAAGTCAGATGGGATCAGGATTATGACACGTGACACATTTTAGGGATTGTAATAAGCAGCGTGTTACTACATTGTGCACTGAGACAATTTTACAGTGCCCATTCTTTCATTCTCTTTTGTTTATGCTTTACCGTGATCTTGCACGCCTAAATACAGGCAGTGAATCTGTCTTAGACATGAAAAAGAAAGTGTAGTAACACACACACACACACACACACGCAGAGCTTGGGTTAGTCCCAGCCAGCTGTGTCCTGTGTGTGTCTGAGACCTCCAGTTGCGGGCCAAGGGAACCACCAGGGAGGCTTTGTCCATAAAAGGAGCTCTGCAAACTTAAAGAAAGTATCTCTGGCTCTAGCTCACACACTCCCCCTCCTTCTCACCCCGTTCAGTGATGGGACACAGAGATAGAGATCTTATTTCAAGGTAGAGACGAACAAATACAAGCATTTTGCTATAATTTCTCTCTGCCTGCTTTTACTCTTCGGTTTTGGAGCACTTCTTGTTGTTTTGGATTCATTCCAAGGACATAACACAGCTAGCCTATTATTGCCAACTGGATTCACACAAAACACACAGCCCTAGTGAGAGTACAGGTCATTACCAAATAGGATAAGGTGCTCCAACAGCTGTAAATAAATGAATGTAAGGTCAAAGGTCAATCATACTCCCATCCTTGGCTTTGTAGATGACAGGAAACCTTTTCAGTCACACACACATGAACACACGTCACTGCCTGTCTACTTTTGGACCATGGACCTCCCACACACCCATACACACACACACACACACACACACAAAACCTTGCATATCTTAGTGGGATCTGAAGTAGAACAATCCATGTTTATAGATGTATCAAATAAATGTTGGCACAGAGAGACTGCACTAGTTACTCCAACTCCTGGTATCCATCTGTGTGCTCCCTTTAGAGAGTTTGACTAATTACAAAGAGCTTTTCTGCACAATTTACCTTCATGTCGAGGTACAAAACAAACGTAGAATTAAACATTTCACGCTGAGGATTTTGAGGAAAACCTGCACTGTAACAAGGGTTTAATGAAGTGAGAACATTTGCCTTTAGAATTCAAGTATTCATTAAAATAAGGTTTATGTTTTGAGTTATTAGAGTAGTATTGTACTTAAGTTAAGTTGAGAGATTTTTAGGGGACAGATCTTTTCTAAAATTTGACTCAGTAGTACTACTAATGAAGAGTGAACTGAACTTAGTGTGAGAGCTGATTTAAAAGATGATTAAATGTTTGATTTTGCCAACAGTAGACTGACAATCCTGCACTGTAATATTAGATTGTTAGGACAGCAGCTGTGGTGACATCTGTCTGCTAAAGAACGTACATGAGTTTGAATGTGCATTTATCATCATCACCAAACGTTTCTGTGGAACGGTGAGACTTTATGACTCTATACTTTATGAATATTTGGGGTGAGCATGTGTGAAAAGGTTTAGTTTCAGTTTTAAACCAAAGTATATAAATGCTGTTTCCTGCATTTTTTAACATTTATCTATCAATATAGCAAATGACAAACCATCATGACATTGGATTGGAAGCTTTTCTTGGATTGGTGTCATTTTAAAATCACATTAAATAATTGTTTTGGTGGATTTTTATCCCTAAGTAGTGCCTGCCATCTTCTTCTTAGGCCGGCATCTTGTATGTTGGATTGAGAAGCAAAAAAAGTTGCTTCACTGCTGCTCGTAAAGCTTATTGCTCTGAGTAAACACTAATAACTGAAGGGGAGTCTTGAGTCTATCAACACTTTGATGACCTCCCCACACTGTTTAGAGACAGTTTACCGAACGAATCAAACACAACTTACATGTTTCTCGACCTCGCTTCCTATGGCCCGGCTGTAGTTCAGGTAGTCTGACACTGGACCTTTCAGTACGACGTCAAAAGCTTCGACACACTGAGACAAACCTGCAAACACAGGGAGAAAACACTGCCTATTAAACTTGCCAGTATTATATGATTGAATTGAATAAAGCTGGTTTGCTCTCTCTCCCAAACCTCTGAGTTGAATATTACTGAAGCACAGACTTACTTCCGTCAATGCCGTTGACACAGTCTCCGTTGGCCATGCCACTGGGCGCCTGCATGGTGACGGACATCTTCTCCAGGCGAGTCACAGCTCGCTCCAGCCGCTCCATTAAACCTTCCATGGTGACAAACCTAGAAACAAAAGCAAGACTGGTTTCTTAAAATGGACTGTGGCCTTCCAAATCTCAGGCTGATGATTAGTTGTGTTACTTTATTGAACCCAGGAGATAAGTGGTATCCTCTGGGAGTTTGGTGAGAGATCAGCACTGAGTCCTTAGTGACAGAATCAATACTCAACTTTCCCACCATGTAGCTCCCTGCTTTCAAAATGTCGCCCCGAGTTATTACAGAGGGAAACTAAATGTAACCAATGCAGTGAGCATTGAACACTGTCTCTGTTTGAGCTGTCTGGCCCTCTGCCACAGTCACAACCTCATGAACATATCACACAATTAGATTAAGAAGGGACAGAGACCGGAGCCAGTCGAGAGGGAGGTTAAGAGAATTTAGTGAAGTGGAAAAAATTAAAGAAATGCTGGGAAAATACCTGATGAAATACACAGATCTTCAGATACAAACAAAAAGAAGACGTCTGTTTAGTCCTGAGACCCAAAGTGAAGAAAATTACATAAATAATTATATTAATATATACAGACAAAATATATAACCAAAACATCAGGACAGAATCCGACAAACTTTTAAATCAGAGTTTATTAGTTTTTGTTTTTTGCAGTTTCTACTTCAGAATATCTGTTGCTTTAGTTTGAATTAGTAAACAGGCAATCACATAACTGGCTCTGCCCTGTTGGTCTCTGATTGGCAACACGGTAGCTTAACCAATGTCACTCTAGCCATAAGTGTGCAAGAGAGTTTTATGAAAATACTAGTAGTACCATCTCATCCACATACCAGATTTCCTCAGACATTGGCAGCTGTGCTCCCTCGTGGATGTATTTATGATCTGATAACAGATACTGCACCTTCTGTGGTTTGAATATTGCACTTGGACATACTGATTGAGATTAATTGTGCAGCCCTAATTTTAACTCATGTGGATGTTTTCAGAAGGACGGCTGCCTTCTTGTATTGTGCTTTCAAATATAAGTACAGTGTCCTCATTATAGGTGCAAAATATAATTATTTAATTATATCATTTTTAAATGTTGATATGCACATTGCCTTTATAGATGGTAACTGTTGGATATTAACATTCAACTAAATGTTCTGCCTCATAATTTATACAACATACATGATTATATAGACTGCACTGAAATGTGCAGACAGTATTTTGACAAGGTTAGCTTAATGCTGAGAGGTAAACAAATCTCCGGCTGTAATCGAATGCCACTGAAACCCATTGGAGGTAGCACCACAGACCATATTGTATCTCCGTCTTTAACACTGACCAGCAATATGCATCACAATGAGGCAACGCAGGCCTGTTTCCAATATTTATTAGTCAACAGAGTGGAATTCAATCCAGCAACCAACTGCATGTTTACACAAACTACTGCTAGGTAACACACGCTTCCTAATGTGACGCCTGCTACCTTCACGTCCAACACAAAGTCCAATGCTGTGAGTTATAATCTGTGTTATTTGCTCTACAAATGATTTATAAAAACACCAGCAGGCTCTGCATTAATATGGCAGTTATGTAGACTGGATTGTGTTCCCTGTCTGTAATCTTTTTTAAATGATGTCTAGTAATTATGTGCCATGAGCAGCAAACATGTCCTGATGGGCGTCATCGCATCATCTCTCTGAAACCTCTCGGCAGTGCCAGATGCCTGTCGCAGGACTCAGTTGCTATTTCTGCTCTCTGGGTCACAACAGCTCTTAGACAAGACCTGAATCCTGGAGAGCTCAATGTGGGTTGATCAAGCCACAATGTCAGTTTATTAGTATTTTTGATACCTCTTTCTTTTACAAATTGTTATACTTCTCAATATATCAACAAACATACAAAACCAAAAGAAAAACACATAAAAATGACATAGTTTCAGGTAACATGTGTATGTAAATAGCAGAATAAATGATACAAGCCAAAAGTAACAGTCAATAAATCGATTAGTTGATCATCAAATAAGTGATCAGCAAAAATCTATTTGTTATTTTTTAATCCAAAGTGACAACAAATGAGGATTTGTTACTTTTCCTTCCCTTATTGTAACAGTTAAACTAAACTGAATATCAAACACTCCCAACAGTGATGTCACAGTGTCCTGCAGTACACCTGTACATCACTGTGGCACTGTGGGGGTTAAGTTACTCTTTAAAGGGCTGTGAGAAATTGCGATTGGCAGTTTTTCTTTTATGATCACTTATAGACAAACTGATGAACTGATTAATGGATAAAAAATCAGCAGATTAATTAATAATGAAAATAATCCTTTGTTGCCGCTTTAATGTTTATACATTAAACACAGGACAAAGCATAAACTACTGTGTTTGCTCAAGTCCCAAAAAACTTCACTTAATCACTGTCTCGCTCATTAATACTGTCAAACTTCGTTTAAAAACCATGAGACAGAAACAGTCGGCGTCTGCACTGATTGTATTGCCAACCTGCCAAATTCTCCATGGCAATGCAAAGACATAGCCAGTGAAGCCCGATTAGCTTTTCACATACTTCAGAGCCACAGTGGGTTCGAAACAGTGGCACAAAGACTGTAAAACACCAGACAAACAATAAAAAGTTGCAGTCAGTGGAATTCATATGAATAATTTACAGCAGCTGTGTTGAGAGGACTTTGGGTTAGTCACTAGTAGATGAACACATTCCTCCCTCTGTTCCTACAGACAGGTGGACAACAGCGTCTGCCACATAAAGACCCCGACCAACAGCTGAGGAAGCACACATGTTCCTGCGGTGGAAAGATATTAGTGACTTCACCCTGACCTGCATGTGTCTCCTGAACCCTCTCGCCTGGTATCTGATCTTCGGGGGCTATATTGGGCCACAGCCTGCCGTTTGCTGCTATGGGCCTACTGGAAGATATAGCTGTACTGTAGCTTATGGAGATAAAGTAAATGTTTGTAAATGTAGTAAATAAATGTTTATAGGTTGAGAGTTTACGCTACAGGAGCTACAGTGGTTCATACAGCCACTGAAACAGGAAGCTGTGATATAAGTGTGTTTGATGCTGTGGCGTCTTAGTTTTTTGTTGTTGATTTGAATACAGCTGAAAGTCGGAATCATCGTTTAATGTAACGGAAATAAAACGTAAGTCATACAGTTATTATATTTATATAGATGATCTACTGAATATACTTAATTAATAGTCAATGAAAAAGCTATAAAGTCAATGCAATATGGACCTAATGATTGACGTGTGAATGTGTTTATAGGCTTTTAAGAGGCAGTGTGATAAAAAAGAAATCTAAAGATGATAAAACAATGTCACCCTAAGGTCCATTTAGGACCGGTTCTGGAGCTTTCTATCGTATCACATGATCTTCATCAGCAGATTTCAGTTCATTTTCATTTTTTCCTTACCATATTGTTTTTAAAGTTTAGTTAAAAGTAACATTTAAGTCTAAGCCAAAAGCTACTAAATGGACCTTGAGGTGACAACTGATGTTTGGTTAAAAAATGTGAAACAAATAATCTATAATCTATAATCTATAGCACTGATAGGGTGTTTGACCCTCACACTGGCTGATTCCAGGTGCTCATCGGGCACTCAGAGGCCAAAGATGATCAAGCTTCATAATAAAACATGACATTGCACTGGCACGCTGACAGCACTTTATACCGCCCCTCAAAAATCTGATGCCTCATGGTCCGTGAGCCACAATATCCCCGTTATATATATCACATAATATCACTCTTACTCCAACAGACAAACAAGAGCAAATCGGTACAGAAATCACAACAGTGTGGCTCATGGCGCACAGGAAGCAGGTGAAGATGACTCTGGATATATTTCTGCGCACACACATCTCTTTTCGGACACCCCCACACTGCAGGACGGTGTCCCCTCTGCCCCCCCCACCACCCCGAAAATTAACCAAACATGACATTCATTTATAAACTCATCAGTGCACAAAACAACTTACCTCCCTCCTCTGGTCCGCGGTGTATTTCTGTAGGGATGTTTTGTTGGGATTTGTCAGTATCCTCTTGGACGGATTCGTGGCTGTGCGCTCCGGTCCCCTCCTGCCTCCCTGCACCGTCACTCAGCTGCGCGCAGGACCGACACTCTTCCGGGATGTCCTAATTAAGCAACACGGTGAACCTGAGAGCCTCACAGCACAGCACAGACCGGGACCGGTGACTCAGTGCCGCAGTATCTCCTCTGGGGCGGACGGGCAGTTACCTCGCAGGCAACATGGCAGCCTCACAAAGAGCCCAGCTATAAATAAACGAGTGCTTGAGGCAATGTCTGCGCGGGTCTCTCCTGAGGGGACTGGACCTGAACTTGCAAGGGGGAGTCATCATCATAACCAAGTCCATGGGAGTGAACTCAGGTCGGGGTTTGACCCCCCATAACTTAGGCTATATATCCCCCTTTTCCAAATATTTCCCCCTGAACATGAGAGCTGCAGTATTTTATCTACAGCCTTGGAAGAGTCCTGGTTCTGATAAGTGAACAGGTAATTCAATGTGACTCATCAATCAGGTTTAAAGGGCCACTCCACCGGTTTAGTGTCGCACTTTTGTTACGTTCAGGGACTTGAGATAGACAGATTTTGAATATTTTGTCAAGATTGGTGCTGCAGAGCTTGAGATATTTTCACATTATTAAGTCCCCAATTTGGCTCCAAAAACATTAGATCCTACCCATAATGCAACATGATTGTATCTATGCTGCATTCACACAATTAGAGAGGGAAGAGAGCCTATAATGTTATTCTGAGTCGGGAGTGTTGGGTGTATTGTCGTCACACAATTTGACGAATTAACTTTTTTTAAATGATAGTTTGGGCATTTCTATGCATTTAGTCCATATTTGTCAGGAAAAGAGAAAAGAGTTCATGTTTGGCATCAACCGACCTCAACATGCTGCTAAATTATGGTGTTTTAAACAAACAGCTTCCTTTTTATTAGTGGAATTGATTCTATTAGTGTTTTGTTCAGCTACCAGCAATAGAGAGATATTATATCTCTGATATCTTAAAAAAAGCTCTCTGAGAGCTAGAGAAGACATTATACAACTGTTTTCACAAGCTGAGTGACCTTAAGTCAAATAAGAAAAGTAAACTGATGTTAATGTGTCTATTATTAGTCATTTATTAAGGGTTTTTAATTCATCAGGTCTGCAGTCTACTTGGATTTTGGTGAAACACTTAAACACTGAAACACTAAACCTTAAGGGGATTTTTCACAACCTGGCAACCCAAATGTGTTCTTATCTCATTCATGGCTTATAATTGATCTCTAAAGCTTTAGCAGATAATAATAATTTACTATTAGTTACCAAAGCTACTAATTATAACTTATAAACCCTTTATGAGTAGCACCTTATTAGAAAGTGCTACTGACTTTAAAAACACTCCCCCCCCATTGCGCCCTTTAAGTCTCTGGGCTCGGTTTCTGTCTTTTCACTGTAAGTTTAATTTTTATTATATCATGAGGTCAGACGCTATGACAGCTGCTGATTTCACCCATAAGGCCTTGCTGCATCCATGCAGTGTCATGATCACCCACCTACAGTACGTGGGCCAGTTTCATGTTTCACCAGGGACTGAAATACTCCCCGGAGCCGAGTAAAAGAAGGCAGAGACACGGCAGGACGGTCTTTATAAACATGACTTATTGATTAGAGAGAGGATGAATCATTGATACGTTGAGTCCTGAGAGACTTTATTATGTGTCAGTCTTATCCATGTAAACTGTGGGTGTGACTGTAATGTGAGAGTGTTTCAAATAACGTCTTCTCAAGATGGTTTCAGAGTGAGGAGGAGCGGTGCAGCATCTGGCATGTGAGATGTGTTTGTCCCCTCGTAGGGAGAGAAAAGAGACACACACACATATTCAGACTCCCCAAAGTGTTCAGTATTAAACAGATAATAATCATTATAACACAATTACATGCATAAATTGTGTCAAATATAATGAAATCATTTGTACAATCATTTCAAGAAGGTATTCAAACTTTTACAAGAGTTAATTTTTTATTTTAAAATGTGTGTTTTCTGTATAGTTTTCATGCTACCTGCCTCTTAAGCAAGCAAGCTCAACAAAAGCTATCAGATTTATCCAGTTAATATTTATTAGCTAGAGCAACAATATAAAAGTGACAGTAAATACACAGACACAGTATAACCTCTGCTTTCATTTAGCTTAAGACTGCTAATTATTAGCTATTTGGTTGTGAGTTTATAACATTAGCAGCAGCTGGTTGATTCGTAGTTAACGCAGATGTTCCTCAGAGAAAGACACACGACTCTGTGCAGAGCGAAAAGACAGACGGACACTTCTTCTGTGGTTGTTCTAGCCAACAGCTGGCTAACATTGCTAACGCTGCTAACACTGGTTCTTCACCACCCAGCTTAGCTAGTTAGCGGCTACGTAGGTATCATTGTTCAGGTGAATAAAGGGAGAGGTGTAGTCACTGTCTCTGTGCATTGTGTTTTATTCGAGCTATTTCCTTTCACATTGTTGCTCTTGCTAACAGGTGCTAACTAGCTATATGTGGTAGCATCTGTTGCGCTCGCTAGGAGGATGTGATTGGCTTAAAGGGGCATCGGTGACATCACTGCTGTTTATTATACTTTATTATCCAGTAAAAGTGTTATTATGAAAATAATAATAATAATCAGTCAGAGTTTTAATGATTTTCCAGAGATTGTTGGTTTGCACAAAATTTCTCGGATTATTTTGTGTTATTTTGTGTTTATTCAATATTGAACACTTCCATACATAGCAGGCACAAAGGGAGTATATGACTTATATTCATAGGTGTATGTGTAGAAGGATGAAAGCCTACATATGGAGGAAGATCACACAGATTCTGGATGTATGTAAACATTAAAATAACCCGACGTGAAACCTCAGTTTAATCGGAGCCGTCATGCAAAGAAATGTCACCAAGAGTTTTAAATATAGAACATTTTATTCCAATTTTGAGTAAATGAAGTTGAAATTCTTGAAGTAAAGGTTTTAATATCAACAGGACCTTTGCATTTAAATAGTAACACTTTACATGCCTTCATCCAGTGACAATGAAAAGCTTCCTTAAAAAGTTTTTTTGTCATTTATTTTTCATATTTCCCTTGTAAGAAATAGTTCAAGTATAAAAATTCCCAACAGTGTAAAATAGCCCATCTGATGAATATTAAGCAAAAGAAGCACAGCTACTGAAACCTCGACGACGACTATACATTCTAGTGGAGAAAGCAGCATTTTCGCTTGTTTTTTGTGAAAATTGTTATTATTTTTTCCTCTCATCTAAACACAGAAGAGGCAGAGTACAATCTGCATGCAAACAGGCCTGCATTTAAATAAAGTTTCTTCCCTACAAAAGGCATAAAGGCATTAAGCTAATATGTAATGTCATGTTCTAAAGAATCAAAAAGATAAAAAATAAAAGTACAGTGCACATAACAGTATCTTAAATAACTCCTACATCAACATTTTTGGTTGAGTATGTTAATAATAATAATAATAATAATAATAATTATAATAATATTATTACTAAAACTAATCAATAACTTATATATGCCTTGAGATGAGTACATAATGATATTAATACAGTACCGCCACTAAGTCTCTACTCTCAGAGCGTCAACATAGTCAACTCTCAAAAATAAATATCTTAAATAGAACATTTCTCTCTTTTTTTCAGTTTTTTTTTTCTCTCTTAAATAGCAGTAAAAATTTTAAGGCACACAGACCAACATAATGTCAAAGAGTCAAACCCCCCGTCCTCTCTCCACCCCACCTGGTGTTCTTGACAGACATGAGGCAGGCCAGTTGTTGGGGTGGCTTTGGTTGAACGTGTGTGTTTGTGTGAGTGTGTACCTGACACCAGACTACAGCAGCACAGAGGTGGAAGTGCTGACAGCTGCAGAGCTGAATGACTGAACGGGGGGGTGGGTGTGAGTGGGTGAGGCTATGCTGTGGGGCTCTGTGCTGGGTGGAGGGGTGTGAAGTTGGTTCCCAAATGGGCCCGGCCTGGGGATTAAAATGTGACAGCTCAACAAACGAGCACAAGTGATGCGTTCTTTCCAGAGTGATCTGTCTGTGTGGCGCTGGAGCGGCTCTGTTCACCCCCACCAGCAGCTGCTCTCTCCCTCTTTCTTTCTCTTTTTCTTTCTCTCCATCCCAGAGCCACAGAGAAACACACAACTGTGCTGCCTTTGTCTTTGACTGCTATGTGTGCAACTCTGGATGCATGTGTGTCAGTGTACGTGTGAGTGAAACATGTGGAAAAGCGACTGATTTAGTGTTTCTCATTGTCTGAAGCCATTTTCAACCTCTCTCCTTTTGTCAGTGCGTTTTGTTTTGTTTGCCAAGTCCCTCTTTAGTCCAAGAATCAAGTCAGAGTTGATGACGTTTTCAGTTTTTTGTTTCTTTTCTTTGTTGTTTTTGTCTCCTGTTGATTTGTTTGCTTTGCATAGGTCAAGAGGTCGAGACACATAATAAAAAAAGGGACATTCAGCATCAGGAAGATAAAAAGGTAGTTCTTCAAATATGTGTGACACGACGAGTTACGACTCTTCGACTTCCTGACAGAGGTCACATAATAATAGCTAACACGTTGGAAACGGTTCCATTTCCCTGATTATCAGAAAATATTAACTCCAAAAAATGCACTTGACAAGACAAAAAGAACAAGAAGAGCCCCCAATGTGTAACAATAACAGTAATAAATATAAATGTTATGAGGGCATCAAATAACCAAAAACACTTGTGGAAAACCACAAGTGAAAAAAAGAGAACAGTTTCCTAAACTAACGTTAAAGACAGCAATAGGACTTAAAGGCTTAGTTTAACACCTATACCACAGGGATTAGTTCCTGCATTTCTTCTCTAGAAATAAGTACTCTACTACAATGATAATAGTAATGATAATAATAATAATAGTAATAACAACAACAATAATAATAGTAAATCACTTTCCATTATTTGTTCTGCGACTTTTTTTCATTTTCTCGTTTTTTGGTTGAAGCACAGCAAGTTGGAAAGTTACTGTAAAAAGTTCCCACCTCACCATCATCATCATCATCATCATCATCATCATCATCACCTTTTTTAAAGCAACTCTGCCTCTGAGTCGCTGACATGCCCACCCTTAAGGCCACTCCCTCTTCCTTTTCCTTCGCTGCTCCTTCTCGTGACCAATCAGCTGTGGCGGGGGGCGGGCCTCCTCCTCGCTCTGCATGTCCAGTGGTTGCAGTGGCTGCTATTGCATGCGGTCGGCTTGCAGCTGCTGAGGCTGGTACTGACCGAACGCAGCGGCTGCCGCAGCCGCTGACCCCGGGGCAGCGGTGGCTAAAGGCTGCTGGACTGCATAGCCATAGCCAGCGGTAGCCATGTAGCCTGCGGCGGCAGGGGATGCGGCGTACGGATACTGCTCGTATGCAGCTGCGGCGGCTGCGCTGGCAGCAGCTGCAGAATACTGCGCGTAGGCAGCTCCGGTGTAGTCGATGTAGGGGGAGGAAGCGGTGGCGGGTGCAGTAGCTGTTGGTTGCACATGTGGGATGACCACACTAGGCTGTACGAAGGCCTGAGGGTACACATAGTGGGCCGGGATGCTGTGAAACAAACACACATGTGCCAGGTTAGTTTGATTCACCCAGTATGAGAGTGATAGCTCCCACCCTAAAACCCAAACCCAACTCCATCACACTGCGGCCAAGCGCCCTCCCACCTCCCACCACCAGCCCCAGTCCAATCCACCAGTCAAGAACACCAAGGAAATGCCTGCTAGTAGGGATTAGAACAATATAGGGTTGCCAAAATAGAAATCTCTCTGTGAAAAGAAGACTGGAAGGTGAGGAAAACTTTGAACACCCTCTGGGTCTACTGAAAGATCACATTTTTATGACTACATTTGGAGGAGGTCATGTTCTTTGTGGGATACAACATGGGAACACGTTATCATATTTTCTGTTATGGTCAGTTTTGAGCGTGTGGTTGTGGAGACAGTGTGAGGCAGAGGGAGGTGAGATGAAAAGACTAAGTTGGGGATCTGCAACCTGCAGCTTGTTTGTCCGTCACATGTGGATTTGGCTCTGGTGCCGTCCCCTCTGCCTGCCGGAGGGCGAGCGGGTGGGGAGGAGAGGGAGGGGAGGCTTACAGTGCCGGGGGCGGGGGGGTGCGGACAGAGGAGATGAGCCCAGGGAAGCATTGTGAAAATGTCACTGCCACTTTGACAGCTGGACAGTTTTCAAAAAGGGACGCTGCTGGCCATTTCCCCCTCTGTGTCGGGACAAAGAGCCGGGGAGGCAGCGGGGGGAGCTGGGACTAGGCTCCACACCCAGAGGGATGTTTCGATTAAATAAACAATTATGAACAATGAGCACATTCTGCCCTCCATGACATAGCCTTATCCAGCCCCCCAGACTCTATAAGGTCTGGAAACTCAGCCGGACAGCAAGCGTGAGGGGAGCTTTTGAAATGTACACTAGTGGTTCAGAGAAGTGTCAACTTCTGACTGTAGGTTGAAGCAAGAAGAAAAAACTTGAAAGCTTTTAGATCTGGTGTGAATTTTTAGTTTTTTTTGTCCTGAGAAAAAAAAATCCCTCCACTTTGAAGATAAAAGAAAAGTCAAATTCAATCTGACTTTAATTCAAATGGAATGAGAAGCATCAGGCTGGACAGAAACAATCTGATATTTGTTGCGCAGGGCTCCAACAACAGCTATGTGACTGTAGGTGAGGAGTGTGAGTGAAGGTGGCTCAAAAATCTGCTGAGAAAAAAAAAAAATCAAGGAAACCAAATGTAATCAGCTGAGTCTGCATAAATGAACATCAGGTGGTCACTTTTTTGAGTCTGGATTAGGAGAGAAGAGAGGAGGTGCAGAAAATGTTAAACGCTGAAAGGCAGGATCTATCGTGGCAACCCTATTGTCAGCACGCCATTATCCAATCCAACCCACATCGCAACTGAAAACAGTGTGCCAGGAGAAAAACAGGAAAAACAAAACAAGAGCAAGGCGTCAGAGAGGAAGAAATATGTAAAAATAGTCCACCTCGACTAGACTGATTACAGAAATGACGACAACAACAAGGGCACGGCACAATCACTCAAATGAAAAGACACAAAAAAGAAAAAGGGCAGGTATAATGTGAGTAAGTGGGTCTGTAGAGGTTTGGTGTGGCTGTCAGTAAAGAGCAGAGGTCAATATTTTACACACACACACACACACACACACACACACACACAGGTTAGACCAATCTTTGAAGTAAGCCAGTAAGAAAATGTCTGCATTGAGCAGAGCTGGTGTTTTCTGCAGAGTTAGTGTAATTGGAAAATGCTCAGAAACAGGACTTTATGTTCATGTGACACTGAAACTCTTCTGTGAAACCAGCACTAATGAAACTCAGCAGGGTAAGGCAGGTTTCCAGGAGGATTTTAGAGGACGCTTTAAGACATCTGTAAGACTGGCTGAATAAGAAACTCCCACACAAAACAGTGGAGAGACATTTCCTGTCTGTTTCAGAAGTGAAACTGGAGGTGGATGACACACTGACTGGCCATCATCCAATATGTAAATAAAAGCTGATGTTAGTCTGATTGAACGCCGATCCATACCGCAACTGTAACTCATGGTCACACATTGTTACGATCGTTCATAAATTTTGTTTGCTGGTTTAATAACTTACAGTATAAGACTGTTGTTTTTGCAATGCAGCTATTAAACTGTTATCTATGAAACCCATGATGGACTGTGAGGATTACTGATCAGGTTTTAACATTTCTTTCATGCAATGATTGCAAATGCAAACTTTTTAATGTTTTGTTTCACTTTGTTTGACTTACAGCTACTGTATACAGTAGAGGTAATATAAAATGGCAATTTTAATTAATTTAATTGGCGTTATAACGGTGTTTGTCAATTTACAATGACCGTGTGGTCTTTGGCCATAAAAAAAAAATGATGACCTAATGGGGAATTTCACAAAAGTTTACAGGTCTGGGGAGAACTACCATTTTTTCTATAGTCTCGGACTTGTCTTGGACTTGTTGGTTGCACTTGGACTTGTCTCAGACTTGGCCATCGTCTGCAAAAACTCATCTCATTGGCAAAGGCAAAAGCATTCTTTTTTTTCTGGCTCGGTCTTGAATCTGTCTCTCTTATTTGGACACGGCTTCGAATTGGTCTGGACTAGTCCTGGTCTTGGACTTGACAAAGGTGTTCTTGACTACAGCACTACAGTACTACTACATATGTGAAGGAAGCCATTAATGTCTCCACAATTAGGGCTGAAGGCTACACATTTGAAAATTACATAAATCTTTGGGGGTGGAGTTACTAGACCTCCTCAAGGCTACATTAGCTGCTACTAGCATAACAACTTGAATCTCTAACTGAAATGTCGGTGGTCAAGTTGCATTGTGGGTAATGTAGGCACCAGGTATTGAAACAGACTGTGTGGAATAAAAAAGATGATATCTGTGCTTCTGCTACATCCATTTTGATTTGATATCCATTATGAGTCCTACAACGTTATAAAAGTGCAACAGAGCTACTAATTAACCCTTTCATGGCCTTTCAATCAGTCTCAAGAGGTCATCTGGGATTCCCCCAAACTTTCAGTATAACCTTTTTAACAGCAGCTACTGTATATGATTGAGTATAGAGGCTGCAGCTCAGACAGTAACTATTTATTGACCGTCTGACCATCTCCACTGCTCTTGAAATATAACTCCTGGCTCAGAGCATTTTGGGGTGTAACCTTGCTGTCTCTGATTCCCCTCTACCACTGTATCTATGGCGTGATCAGTTAGACTGAAAATCATACACACACACACACACACACACACACACACACACACACACACACACACACACACACACACACACGTGGCATAAGCAAAGGTTTCAGCCATGGGAAGCAAAGCCCTGGCTGGCCTATCCCAATGGGTCCCAGTGTGCCCTCAAATAAATAATCGCCCTCTTTTACCTGGGAGTAAAATAAGAAAATCAGAAATATCACAGTAACTGTATATTATGAAGCCATGCTGGTGCCTACAGTGTGTGTGTGTCTGGAATGTCGTGTTCACACAACCGAGCGGTCATTAAAGTTCAAGGCTAAATAAAGGTTCCCTACCATCGTGCATACCGTCCGCTGAGTGAAAGAGCACAAGTACAAACGTACACTGAGCTGAGAGGATCTAATGTGTGCGAGAAGATGTGTTTGCGCAACATGAAAGTGTGAGAGATTGGCAGTACACACACCTGTCCTGTTTTGTTGGACTTTTGTTATTATGACCGAGACACAGACCTGCTGTGTAGTTTCACTTAAAGTACAGCAAGACTTGAGTCGTAATCCACATATAGAAAGCTACTTGATCAGGTAGTTTGTGTGGATCTGTCACTAATTAAAGTTTATTAACGGCAAAATGACCAACTGAGTACAAAACTAATTAAATCTGTAATCGAGATAAGATTGCAGAGTACGCTGACAGTTTTGTAAGTGAAGGTTTTAAATTCAAAATCCTGACATGGAGATTAGTCTCCAATATTTCCTGATGTTTTAGTTTGAGGAAGTTTGAGGGTCATATGGAACAGATTTTGGAAAATAGGACATATAGCTGGTAGGATCAGTGTACAGTTAAAGTCTTTTAGATATATTATCTACCTTTTCATTAGGCAGATTTGTATAGTTAACAACATAATGTCCTTGAATTGATTTTATTAGATGTACCTACTTGGTTCAATTACTGACATTTGCAAAAATGCTGCAATGTAGAATAAGCAGAACTCTTTGTCCCACCTCTATGGTGCCAGCGCTGTTTAATTTTTCCTGATGAAGGTGTAAAGATGGAAACTTAATTACTAGACAGGATTCTTTGTTTCTTCCTTTTTTCTAATGGTGCTTTTTGGGGGAATTTTTTGACGGTCTAGACTAGAGGATGTTGTTCTGTACAGATGTGAGGCAAGCTGATGGTGTAATTTTGGGCTTTGATTGGAGTTTTCATCATAAGAAAACTTTCATTTTGAGTTTGCGTGAGAGGAACACAAATGGGCAAACCTGACAATAAATGTTTGCCAATACATGAAAACAGGATATTCTTTAATCTAGTTGATGACTTTGTCTTGTATTATTACACTCCCAACTGTATCCTTGTTCTCCGATTATTAATCTGTCCCTGCACACTCTCAAATCTTCAATAGTGCTCAAACTTGTTTTGTGTTTAGCCAGTAATTGGCTTCCATACATTTTGTACGCATAATTGATGTGCTAACTACGAACTATGAACTGGTTCTGGTTCAAAAACAGTGGTTAAGATGTGTTTATACGCACGTGGGAAGGCTGTAGGTTAATGTGGCCCCTAAAGCACCCACTCTGACCCTGTTTAAATGGCCCCTGCTCTCCTCTTATATGACAGAGAGAGATGCTCCCGCACTGTCACCAGACCCCCCCCCAACACACAGACACACACACACACACACACACACACACACACACACACACACACACACACACACACACACACACAACATAGCTTCATGCGACTGCAGCGTCAGCATTTGGGGCTTTGTGTGGCACAATGGGTGCGCTTGTTTTCCTTAACACCACGAGCCCATGTGACGAAAGCTTGCTTAGAGAGAGAGAGAGAGAGAGAGAGAGAGAGAGAGAGAGAGAGAGAGAGAGAGAGAGAGAGACATCCAGACATTTGTTTGTGTCACACTGGAGACTTTGGTGAGCTGAGCTGAAAATGAGCGTGCACGTGAACGGACAAAGACACACGCACACATACAAACACAATAAGTGCACATACTCACATATACCAATACAACCAAACATGTACACACACAAGTGCACATACTGTTACGACTAGAGCTCACATAATAACTGATAGGCTTGTCATTCATTCATTATACGTCCACATATACATGTCTGATTGGTAAATGGCACTACATGACCACAAGTCTCACACATGTGACATTGAGAAGAGCAAAGACAAAGAGAGATAGAGACAGGAAGGAAGACAGTAGTTGTAATGAATGGACAGAGTGAACCAGCACTAATATGGCGAAGAGAGACACTGTTCATAGTTAATGTGTTGCTGCTATATTGTGTTAATGTGAGAAAGTAACACCAGGAAGATGCTATAAGCACACACAAGCAGTGATGTGAGGAATGGGAGTAAGGAGGTGATTGGGGGGGGGACATGAAATCACACAGAAAATTCACCACTCACTCCAACAAGACAGTCAAAAAAATCCACATTAAACAGCACATCCTGTTAAACAAAACAGGTCAACCACAAGCTAAAAGAAAAAAAATACTTTGCTCTTCCTTGGCAAAGTTAACACGCTTCCACAAAAAAAAGAAAAAAGAACACCCCAAAAATCAATCCAGCTTTTTTTTTTTTTTTTTTTTTTGGTCATTAAAGTAAGAAAGCACACGGTTTAGCTAACAACACCACTTCATAACCGCACACAAAGCTCTAAGTTCTATTAAAATAAAATAAAAAAAAGGTCAAAACCCACGTACATGCATCTATAATCACCATTTCGAGAGCTTGTTTGTGTGTGTTTGAGTCTACAGGTAATTCCTTTCTCTGATCTGTGATTATGTTCGCAGAACTATTCCACAAACCAGCACAGTTAGTTTAACCGAGAGCGAGCCTGTCGAACCAGAGAAAGATAGATAACATTGAGTCAGGCTAGAAGTTTCCATCATTGTCCACTCAGTATACACGCACGCACACACACACACGAGTATGTATACACACTCACACACATTTTTTACAAACAGGCAAACCTAGAAAAGGCAGTTTGACTAGCTGTTGGTGGACAGTGACATAGGACAAAGATACATACAACTTAATGTCCACCTCTAATTATCAGCCATCAATTAGGTTTGGGGAGAAAAAAGGATAAGAGATAAAAAAAAAAATCATACTGATAGTATCAATTATCACATATTAAAATTAAATTAAAATATGTTTGAATTATTTAATCTCTACGTAAACATTGTGCACATCCCAACATTCCTCTTAAATACATGTAGACAGTACTTACCCATAAGGCCTTTGGATGAACGCAGGGTGAATTTGGGGAACACCGAAGGTAAAACCTACAAAACAGAAGAGGTAATGAACGATAAAGTGAGTTCAGAAAGCATTAACCTTTCCTCACTAATGGGCTAAATAACATGAGGCGAGTATTTATAACCCAATAACCTCCTTACACGTTCTTACATCAGCTGCAGCTCCCTAAAAAACAAATGAACCCTGAGGTCAAATCAGGAAGGATTGACTTGATTTTCTTTTGTGCTGCTTTGCCAATAAAACTTCACACTCCCAAACCAACAGTGTGGGAACAAAGACACTTAATTAAAAATGCCGTCTCATTTATTCATCTTTAAAATATGCTCTTTAAACGACAGTATCTGCTCATGTCTGGCTGAAAAGATATATTTTATATACTTAAATATGCTGTATTGATCCTCTTTTCTTTACCTGGCTGCATCACCCGAGGCTTGGCTCCCAGGTAGGCCAGGTTGACATTGGCCTTCCTGCCGTCAATGATTGGGTTGGGGTCCTTGCAGGCCCGGTCTGCAGCCGAGCGGTCCGCCATCGTCACCTGAAAAAAAAACACAGAGCGTGAGAAAGAGAAAGGTGTGTAAGTGAAGTACAATAAGTATGTCTAAAAGCATCATAAGCTGATGGGAAAGTGACTGTGTGTTTGTAATAAAGAGAATACAGGTGTGAGTGTAAGAGGTGCGTGTATGTTAACCCTCCTTCTCTCTGTGTATGTGTCCTTCATTAACAGCAAGAATTTGGCAGCACACACACATCCATCACCCTCATGTGGTTGTGTTGAAACTATCAGCAGTGAATGGGAGCCAGCACTGAGATGACTGACTGAACATGGCTCCATTATCTCTCCCATTACAACAACAAACTTTAATAATCTGCTCAGAGCTTCACACTCACTCCTCACTGACCTGGATGAAAGAGTGAGTTTTGAGGAGAAAACACAGAAAAGGGAAGACGTATAATGCATAAATATGATGTCGTAAAAACAATTTAAAAAGGATTTAAGCAAAAGTTGTAATAAAATCTCAATTTTAGATGTTATAAATGGAACAAACAACATTTGAGCACATCAGGGATGACTCTGCAACTTTGTACACCATCAACTGGACCTCTCACACATTATTAAAGAGGCTCTGAAGAAGCCAAATAAGGTTCTAGATCCCTCTCTGGCAGCCCTGTTGCATGTATACTATACTATAATTATAACCCCATCTGTTCGTATAACTCAATTAAACTGAAATATACCATCTAAAAAAAACACACTATCTGAGTAGCGCGGAGCTGCTGGTTATTTTTTTGTCTCCACATTTTGTCAGTCGGTTTTATAACAAGTGGGAGCAAAATATTTTAACGTTACGAGCAGAGTTGTAAACAGCTTTGGAAATGATGAAACCAGCACTATCCGCGGACATCAAGACATCATCGTGAGATTTTTTTTTTTTCTTCCCTCGACCCACCAGAGCTGTCAGTGTGAGGGCAGCTCGCTTTAAAAACGTGTCCGGGCGCATACCGACGCGCAACAAGTTAGTGGGTGCGAGATTGCAACAGAAGCCAGTGGCAAAAAGTAAGCTTGTGAAAAACATAAACATCCCATGACTGCAGATAAATTAAAGTTAGTCATGATGTTGTAACAGGCAGCAACAGCCGCTCACTTTGACGGAGACGCGGGAGGGGAGGGTTGGGGTTTTCCTACGTGCGTAAAAAAGTGTAAAGTTAGTTGCGTAAAAGTGACAAACGTGCTTTTATTAACTGATACTTACGAATCCATAACCCCTAGACTTGCCGGTCTGTCGGTCGGTAATGACCACCGCTTCTTCAATCTCACCAAACACCTCAAAATATTTCCTGAGACTTGAATCCGTGGTGTGGTAGGGAAGACCCCCGACAAAAATCTTCGTATAGGTCGTGTCCTTTTGCGTGGTGTGCATCGTTAGTGCAAAGTACAATAAATAGGAACAATAAAAAAAAGAATAGTGCAATGTCTCCTTATCAGTAATTATTTGGATGAAAAGAGAGAGAAAGAGAGATCAGCTGGCTCTGTTACTTTTTCAGAAGAGAAAACAAAACAAAAACTCGACAAAAAAAAATTAAGCCTGGAGGTAGATTTATCTTCCGACAGTTAAAGAGGGGAGTTATATGGAGCGGATTGTCCCAGAGAGACCATCAGGTGTTTCCAGCTCTTCTTGGTAACTCTGCTGTCTAACTAAATAGGTTTGGGACCCATTCCTAAAAGCGCTGCTCCTAACTCCACCCAGCTTTCAGTCCATCTCTGCCCGCCCACCAGCGCGCACAAACAGCTGGGAGACCTGCACAGTGTGAACGCGTCGGAGCTCCTTCAACGAAACAGATCCGGGTTGTCTTTACTAGAATCACGTTTAATTAACCATCAGGGGGGGCAACAAAACCTGATTCCACTGAACAAAGAGAGAGAGGACTTAATTAGAATGAATCAAACTGAGAGAATGTCTTTCACAGCCTTGTAAATGAATATGTTGGTTAAGTATTTTCTCTCTTTGGTGAGATAAAATAAACACCAGGTTTGCACTTTTTCCGTGGAAAATGTCTGTCCCGTGTTCCCCGTGGGCTTGCGTGGATTATGACTCCAGCAGAAACAGCCGGTCAGAGGGTGGACAGCTCGGGGACAGACACATCCCAGCAGTGAGCAGACAGGTGCAGCTTTGAGACTCGACTGGAAGTATCAGCCTTCAAGACACTCCACTTGTGTGTGTGTGGGGGGGGGGGTTGACAGAGTTTTGGCAAGTTTCTGTGTCCATGCAGGCAGCCATAATGCATACTGTCTGTGCAGATTGTGCCCTGAGTTTGAACGCGTGGGGAAACATTGCTGTTTTTAATGGTTCCTTCACTTTAAAGTCAATGAAAAATTATATCCACTACATTCTAACAAGTGGTTTTACGATGTTTATCTCTTTTGGGGGGATTCTTGAGATGGAAACATTTGACTGAATCAGCCCTTATTGTCTTAAAAAAGATGGCGATCACCTTTTAATAATTAATAATTAAACGCGCCGTGCGTCGTCGAGTTACTCACAGCTATTATGATGGGAGAGGTTCAAGTAAAGGAGTCAGAGATCAATTCAATCAAGAGTCTCTGAACATCAATGATTAAAATATCTTGTGAAGCTCCTCTCCACCGAGCTGACTGCTGGATGGATGTCCTTTTGAACAGCCAGGATGAGTAATTCAGCTGTAATGTGAGAGGGAACTCTGCTGTTAATCTTTCATGGCGGCTGCAGCTTCTGTGAGCGCCCTATATATCCTGTGTAACACGGTGAGATGGCACATTTGCACACGGGAACATCATTCATGTTTTCATATTTGTTGTTGGGGAAAAAAAGAGAGTGTCAGATCTTCTGCTGCTCATTAAACTGGGCCACAAGCAAAAGGTCCACAATTGGCCTTACATTTGCTTTCCAGCTTTGGGTGTAAAAGCATGTTTGGCTGGTTATTTGTCTCCTTTATGGGCTGATATATTTTAAAACTAGAACCAAAATCTGTATTCTGAAACAGTATGAGGAGGCTCCACACACATCCTGTCGCATCCATCTGAATGTGAAGTGCCACAGCAGGACTCCGGATCACAAAGGAGTGCAACCTGATAGAGCGTCTTTCTGCGGTGTCTCTGTTCACTCTCTGTTTTATTCATGCAGCCACACGCGCTTTAAAGTCCGAGTGGAGTCGTGAAAAAATGGGGACCAGTGTCGAGTTTCCCAGGCTCAACAATGGGGATCCGGTCAGGTTGCGTCCAATTGTTGTTTTCTGTTCATGTGCAACATGCTGACTAGTCTGAATCCTCTTATACAATAACAGGCTGTGCCCCCTCCTCCTTTTGAAAGCTTTAATTATACTTAATTTCCAATAATCTTCAGAGATACTCCGACAGCTCACTCGTGTTCAGTGAACGTGTCACCAAAATAACTTTATAAATGTGTTTCAGCTGTAAATTCATTAAGACATACACATCTTCAAAACAATCAAAGTGGGATTTATTTTTTTACTTTAATAAAAACAAAAGGCTGTAGGGAGCTGAGACTGTAACTCTGGGCTGTAGCAGACACCTGTCAGCCAGAGAGGTCAAAGGTCGCTGCAACAGCTGAATACTCACAGCTCAGTCACACTATGATTGTACTCAAAACCACTCAACAACATCTCTGAAAAAGTTAAATCAAGCTCTGGTTAATGAACTAATTTCATTAAAGATTTTCACATTCTGACAAATAACTGAGCGACCCTCAAACAACACATAGGGAAACATCAGCTTTTATTTATCAGTAACAACTTCACCGTACACGTCTTTTCACACAAAGCACTTCTTCAACATGCTGCCAAAACCTCCTCATTGTAACTTATCTCATGGATGAGGTCCACTGGCTTCAGGGAGCTGTGCTACAAACTTTAACCCACTGAAACAGCGCCACCTTCTGTCCAACAGAACAACTGCACAGAATACACCCTTCACATGCAAAATTAAACGTGAAAACAAAAAATCTCATTTAAATGTATTTTGAATGTTGGCAAGAACATTAAGTCTTGGTCATGTGTATTAAAGCATTGCTGAGGTAAATGATATTGCATTGGAAAGAAAAATCCTCATATTCCTTTTTGCTTATTACGAAACTAAAATATAATTTACACCTGATACGCCTCCCTGCAGTGGAAATATTATAACAGTTTCAACTATAGGGCCAATCACAGCTTAATTACATCTGTTCATTTCTCCCCAAACAACACATACTGTACACATTTCCTTACATGTTTCTTTTAACAAGTTTCAACAGGCCTCTTGTTTGTGCAAAAGGAATGATTTTGGCTCCCACCCCGTCTCTCTGTTTCCTCTCTTAGTGTTGATTCATGGCTCATTTCATTTAAAATACTTCCTCTCTGTCGTCCCCTGCACGTTGAAAGCTAGAATCATTCTCCAGCTCCCCTAGGTCTGCAAGGAGCTGATCCCTCTTGAGCTCCTCCACCTGGGTCAGCTCCTCCTCCTCCTCTTTCCCATCATTATGCTCATGTATTCTCCCTGCACCGTCCTCTCTGTCCTCCCCGCTCTCTCCTCCTTCATCTCTCCTGTCTACTCTGCCCATTTTATCTCTACTCTCCCTGCCGTCACCTCCAGCCTCTCTCACCCGCTCTCCGCCCTCGGCCTCCCGGCGTGCGATCTGGCTGCTAGGCGGTGGATCTACGGGGTCCGGGGTGAGAGGGGACTGTAGCGGCTCCACAAGGGTGAGGGCCTCGTCCTCCTCGGTGCTGGAAGTGGGGGCAGGGCCACGCACACGGGCCGACTTGTTCCTCAAACGTGCCTTGAGCTCATCCTCCTTTAACTGAGAGAGAGAGAGAGAGAGAGAGAGAGAGAGAGAGAGAGAGAGAGAGAGAGAGAAAAATAGAACTGTGAGAGGGAGGCAGAGAGAGCTGAGGTGTACACAATCCACACACACACACACACACACACACACACACACACACACACACACACACACACACACATTGCACCTTGCGTCTCTCCTCAGCAAGTCTTATCTTCTCCTCCATCTCTTCTTTGCTGGGGAGACTTTGCTCCTTCTTGGCCTTCAGGGACTCCAGTCTCGCAGGAGGTCTTCGCTTGACCCCCTCCGTGTCATCTAGCTGATACACAACACACACACACACACACACACACACACACACACACACACACACACACAGCAGAGGGAGACAGAGGACAGACAATCTCAATCACAGGCGACTGTAGTTCCCCTGAAACTGACTGACCTCCTCTACATGTAAAAGATGAGTTTGAACGATGCTGTACGAATATGCACTTCATCACTTATATTACAATCTTTGGGAATTATTTTTTATTTTGTGTTCTTACAGGACATCAGTTAGTGTTACAGAGCCAAACTATTTTCATATGGGTGGCCAGTCAGAGAGTCTTTCAGTTTTCCGTACACCGTATGTCTATTGACCTGTCTTAGCAGGTAAAGCACAGGTGCAGCTATTAACAGGTGTGCTCAGTGCAGCGCACTGATTTTGTTCGTGCTGGCTCACTGGAATAGCCTATTGGGACATTTAATTGGGAAAGTCATTGATGTCATAGTAACACCTGAGATTTTTCAGGTCAAAATGCGACATGTTATGAAAAAGGCCTGTACTTATTACCTGTGTGTGGTGGTGAGCCTGTACTGGTAGATAAGGCCAGAACTAGCCACCCATTGGACCCACTATTGATCATCTTTCATATTTCGTTGCTGTTTGAGCATCTACTGCTTATCATTAATGTATTTAAATCTAAGTAGATGACGGATTTAGAGAACCTTTTTAAGGGATAACTTTTCTATGATTGAGTAAACTGATGACCCCTGAATAAGTGACATATTTTATGGATATTTCATGTTATATTCAATGCATTACAGTAACAGTACAGCTAACTGTTATGGTTTCCCGGCTTGTAGCTTTATTATTTTGGCTCTAAAAACCCAACATACACTACCCACCAAACAGCCGACAAGCAGTTACCGACTTGCTGGTGAACATAGTGGAGCATTGAGCAGCTAGTTTCCTTCAGCAGTTGGTAGAACAAACACTGAGCTAAACGGGAAATGACTTTTGGCCTCAGTGGGACAGAAACATGACTTCAGATGAATGCTAATGTTGCACCATAACTGCGGGATGTGTTAATAGGTAACTGCTTACAAAGTTTTTATCACAATATTTTGGAAAGAATACCTTGCTACTAATAGTTTTTTGGTAGATGACTGACTTTGTATACACAGGACAACTTATACTAAAGTAGTTGATGTTTAAGAATGGTCGAAGTTGTGTTAGCATGTTTACACCTTTGACCAGTGTGCACTAGATACCCACCATGATGCTATAGGCCTCTCCAGCCCCGCTGCCCCTCTCCCTGGTCTGTCCCACTGGGATGATGCCCTGGTTCAGCAGCTCCTCCAGGATCTCACTGGACTTTGGGCGTAAACCTGAGAGAGACGAAATCCAAATGCTTCAAGTTGTTTGGATTTTCTCTCCAGTGTCACAGTCTGTTTGGGGCACATACTCACCATCTTGTGCAGCCTCACTTTCTCTGACACATGTTAGAGGAGGTAGTTTTCTGGGCACTGCTCCAGGTAACACAGGGATCTCTCTGTTCTCCATCACCACCCCGCTGTCCGTGGTGCCCTTTGACACGGCCGAGTCTCCACGACCATCGAGTTTACTTCCTGTCTCATCCTGACAGCACAGAGACACAATATAAATGCACAAAAGATATATTTCTATATCCTGATCTGATTCTATACGGTATCCCAGACATGATATTGTCATGGTGACATCTGTGTGTTGACACATTGTCATGAGCACAGTAACTCAGGAACAACGATGATACACAGCGGGTAACACCTACAAATTACATCATCTCAGAGTTCGACATTAGTACAAAGCATAACAGTGAAAATCTGTGAGCTGATTAGCAATTTTATCTATATTCAGGGGCAAAGTTATCAACGGTTACAAGTACAATTTTGAGATATTTTACTTGAGAATTTCCATTTTATACAACTATATATATATATATACTGTATACTTCTACTACACAAAATTTTAGAGGGAAATATTATACATTGTGCTCCTCTATATTAATCTGACAGCTGCAGATCAAGATTTTCTGTATAGAACACAATCATATGATCAACATGATCATGTTTGTATACAAACATTACCATCATATATATTTCAATATGATGTTTTTGAGATGGTGTAAAAATGAGCTCCACCTGGATCACCTACAGCATTAAAATACTGCTTACATTTCAATTCATCAGTTAAGCAAACAATAGCAATACATGTCGGCAATGGACACTTCATCAGAAGCAATAATAAAATTAGAGATATAGAATATAAAAGTTTCACTTAAAAAGTATCTTGCCTTTAATAGGCATTTTTAGTGTGCAATACTATTTTTTAATGAAGGTTCAAATTCAGATGTTCACCCAAAATCTATATGTAAATATATATTAAGATGCTGACTTTTGAATGCATTACAGGGACGGTTTAAGGGGTTTTAAGGGGTATAAACCTCCTAATTGACCAAAGAACATGAGAACCGTACATTAATTTATACCTTAAAGGAGCTTTAATTTTCAAATAAAGATAAAAATGCAGGGATGGTTTTCTTGTTATAAACCCCTCAAACTATAAATCCATAACAAACACCAAACACCTTAATGTATTGAAAACCATTCATTTATCTATCCCCTTAAGATGCCATTAACATATCTCAATTATACCATTATTAATGGCATTATACGGTAAAACAATTAAGGGATTCGACTTTATAGTGTCTACATAATGGGCAATTTTATTGATGATACTTCATTTAGCTGATAATATGCAGGACTTTTACTTTTAATAAAGTATTTTTACATTGTGATACTGCTATATTGCTATTCTTTCACTGCTGTATTTTTTGCTGTATTTTATTATATTTGTATAATAAAAACCATTGAATCAGTAGTAGAAATAGAAATTAGTGACTCTTCCTCTAAGGTCACACATTTTAACGGTACACAGATTTCGCCGTAACACCTGTAACGGCTCTTATTTTTAAATATCTGCCCAAATGTAACTAACTTACTTACTAACTTTTATACATCTTTTAGATACTGTTATAAACTATTTATCTAGACCACTAACACTAGTTTTGAACTCCACAGTTTTAGAGAGCTTCAATGGAAGTGGCGGGTCGTGTGAGACGGAGCCTACCTCGTCTCCATTCACCTCTTCCGGTCTCAACGGTTGGACCACGTCGGTGTTTGTGGAGCTGCCGCATCCCATATTCACCTCACAGCAGCGGTGTGTGAAATAAGTCCATAAAACTCATAGATAGTCAGCTTTAATTACACCTCGGTGTGTTTTCTCTCTGTTATTTGACCCGTGTAGCCTCGCATTCCTTCACACACACACACACACACACACACACACACACAGAGACAGACATAGACAGTCTCCATGGACCCGGTGCGTTGCTAAGGGCCGTTGCTACAATAAATCTGACCCGGTTTAAGAAGTGACACCCAGGGACAAGCTGTGGGTGTCAGAGTCAGGACCACCGGGTCAGGACCCTACAAAACACCGTGTTTACAGCCTTTATTCCTCCTCTTTATCCTCTTTACACTGTGGTGAGTTTAACCTTAAACCATTTAGGTTTATGAACTCAAACAACTTAACTAACTCAGGTATTTGTTCAGTAACTTGGGTAAATTAAGTCCATTTTACCAATTCCATTCAGTAAATTGAACTTAAAACTAGTCAGTAAATTACAGTCATATGCAGCATTTCTCCAAACATATTTACAATGTGTTCACATTATTTATTTTATTATATTTATGGATCAATATCTAGCTATAATAAACTTAAACTTAACTGCATCTTCTTTACACAAATGTTACCACTTGAGTTGAATTTACTTAGTTAAAGCAAATTATTACATTACCTGTCAAAACAGATGATGTAAGATAAAAACAACTTGTAATGACTTAATTAGCAAAATAGTAATTAATTAAACTCTAATTGTTACTGGTGTAGTTAAGTTGTTAACTATAGCCTACTTTATGTGACAATAACTTCAAATCTTTGATGATTATATGATGATTTATGAACTGAAATAATATATACATTTTTTTTTTTAATCCTAGACATATAAAATACTGCACACACTTAAGTTCACAAAGTTATTACCTCAACAGTTGATTTTTTAGTTACATTTAATTCATGGGATTGAGGGTTGTAGCCAGGAAGTATTGTGTGAGGTCAAACTGAGTCCATCCAGACACTGAGACCATACCCAAACACCACCAAAAGTTCAACACTGTACAAATGTTAAAGGTTATTTCAGTGTACTGTCTGTACATTTTAATTCCCTGTGAAGGTCTAAATGCTTAATTCAAAGCATCTGACACCGCCAGGCCCTGGAATAAAGTAGTGGTGGTGAGTCCTGTATTTATTTCAGCTATTTCCTGAAAGTATTCATATATTACATTTAAAATGACTGGAATCAGATTCCCAGCTGGGTAAAGCAGACAACTGCCCTGGAGGCTCAGACTAATACATACTGATTCTACACAAGCCAATGTAGTTTTGCTTTGCTTTGAAGTATTTTATTATATTTGTGCGACACCACAGGTGTGCAGCAGAGTGCTAACGCACCCTACCAGGCTCTACTGTAGGTAGGAGTGAGCGCTGGAGTGGCCCATGGCCGTGTGCAGCCTGGGCTTGTTGGCGAGGACCACAATGGTGTCCAGAGCAGGCAGGAAACTCTGGTGCAGGTTCTGGCACTTCTGCTCCACCTCCTGGGCTTGAGCATTTTTGGCCAGTTTGCCTTCCAAGATCATCAGATGCCTGCGAGAGAGCTCCAGGTCCTGCCTATAGAGGAAGTTTGACATACATATGTTTAGGATAAAGAAGATAACGGGCTATGGCTACTGTCTGGTATCATTAAAGAGGTAAAATTGTGACCTTGGCGAACAGTCAGACTTACTGAGAGCGCATCAGTACTGGGCGAAGTCCAGCTGCCATCTTTACCAGGTCATGTTTCTCCAGTGTGAGGCTGATGTAGGGCTGCAGGAGGAGGAACAGGAAGAGAATTATTATATTTAAGGCTTTATGTGTTTCTGACTGCAACCATATGTCATTACACGGTGAGGCACTTACCTGGTCCAGGCAGAGCTCACGTCTGGGTCTCTGGTTGAGGATGTCTAGGCGGTGGGTGACCTTGTGCAGCTTGGAATCACAGTTCCTGATCTGACCCAGCAGTTTCTGTACGTCCGTTGTCAGATCAGCAATCTCATCTCGTATCTGGAGACAGAAACATCACAAAAAGTCAAGTACAGTTGTTCTGTGGATTGTAGATTGTGTAAAAGTGTGACTACAACCTGGTAGACTGACCTGCTGCCGCTCCCAGATGAGTGTATCCTGGATCCTGCTGAGCTCATTAATCTTCTTCCTCAGGGCATCCTGTGAGCTGCGGGACTGGCGGACCTGGGCATTTTTCAGCTGGAATAGTCACATATATCAGAAAGGTTATGAGAGACCACCTTATTTTACTAGTTCTGATCATATTTGCAGAATGTCAGTGTTTATTTGGAGGATATTCCTCCCTTTATGTAAAGGTAAATAGACTTCTATGAATAAGAAAGGACAAAAGTTGATTAGACTGATGGCAAGATAGCAAAGCAGTCCTCTACTTAATGACTTAAACTTAAATCTTTGAGATGAAACAAATTGAATATGTACAAAACCGTCCTCAGACTCAGGTCAGGTCAGGAATTTTGAGGTAATGTCAACATTGTCTTACATTTGCCAGGGTGAAGCGCAAGTTTCCCCTGAAGGAAGAAGAGTCCTTAACCAGTTTATCAGCCGTCAGCCTCAGGTCTTTGCAGTGGGACAGCCACTTGTCATAGCTCACATGGTTGGGCTTGTATTGACCGGCGGGGAGCCGGGAGCTCAGGGTATTGAGGTCATAGGCGATGCATTTGGTGGTGATCCTGATGGCTTCACCCTTGTCCCGGAAATCTGCCAGCAGCTGAGCGTGGACCTCTTTCAGAGAGCTGGAGGGGACACACAACAGAGGGAGGTTTGAGTGCAGAGTGATCATAATGCAGACATACAGCTCAGGAGAATGCTTTGAATTAAGAGGTTAATCAAGTAGCAGAAGACTACAACTGAATGTCTGTCGGACCTGAGGTTTTTGAGCAGGATGCAGATCTGCTTCTGGAGGAGTTCTCTGATCTCGTTGGTCAGCTGCTCTTCCCTTTGCAGCTCAGTGAGGACGCGGTCCTGTCTCAGGACTGCTGAGCTCAAACTGTTACCGATCGCCACGCAGTTGCTCATGAGCTGACTGTACAGCTGCTTCTCTTGGAGACAGGCCTCAGCGGTGTCTTTCACCTTAATGGTGTTTACGCAAGAGCAATGTTGAAGACCGATATTTAAGGAGTAAAAGAAGAAAATTTGTTGAATTACAGGGGTTTTATTAGTAAAGTGTCCTGCTATTAACTTTTTAAGTGTGTCAAATAAGTAACTTGTAAAGTATTTATATGTACTGTGTGTACGTACCTGCTCCACTGCAGTGATTTCCCGGTCCACTCGCCCGATGCTCTCAGATATCTGGGCCTGCCACTGGCTGACCTCCGTATGGCGAGAGCCCAGATGCCTCCTTGAGCTACGGGTGGCAGAGGGAATCTACAAAAAAAAACCCATCACACAAATGAATACACTGCAAAACAAATGCAGTTAACCTTACATTTAGCACAGATTTTGCACAGATGAACACAGGAACATGAGTCAGATTATTAACTGTAACAATATGATGGGAGGATCAGTTGATGTTCATTACCCGTGAAATATCTTGACCCAGGGCACAGACGATTTCCTCGTCAAGCTTCAGCACGTTGTTCCTCTGGAGCTGCGGTCTGCTGGACAGCAGGTTCATGTTGGCGGACAGGACAGGCAGAGTGAATCTGACCCCTGAGCCCGTCTGGTCCTCTTTCGGTGCACGACAATGCCTAACAGTGTGTCAAAACATTTATGACCTCATAAAAACATTGATTTCTCTCTCCTCTTAGACTTGAAGTGTATTCAGTGTTGAACCAAATGCTGAGCAGGTTTTTTAGAGATGTACTCACCACATATTTTGTCTTTTTGATGGATGAACTACAGGAATTTAGAAACTAAAAGGTTAGTTGCTGTAACGCTTTCTCTCAGTTGAAGTCAGAACAAGAAGTGAAGTCTGTTTCAGAAAGTGTGCAAACATTTGGAATATGTTCACTGTGACATCAGCACCCGGAACTATGACGAGCAGCTCATTTGCATAAATAAGAACACAGAAGCCTCACGTGTTCTATATGGAAGTTGTTTACATATAAATACACACATGTTTTTATATGTACACTACGGCCTAACTTCAACAAAGATCACAAGTTTGATTCCCACTGATCGATCATCTCCCATAATCCATTTTTTCATATAGGTTTATGATATGGAACAAAGGCCCCCCGATCACCAGGACATTTTTCAACTTAATGAGTAGTGGACAGGAGGAAGGAGGGGAGAGAAACATCACAAAGCTGTTGGCCCCTTGACCCTGTTTAGCTTCTTGCCAGCAGCAGAGAAAGTATTTCTAACCTTTAAAGTCAAAGTAAAAATACTCCATTTAAAGTAACAAATCCTAAATATTACTAAAACCTCTTGGTATAACACAATACAGTTCAACAGCACCACAAATTACAGCCTCCAGAATTAACACACAGTTCATCCGTATAATCTAAATTATAACCTTTTAGAAGGTAGCCTTTATTGCAGGGCTGTTGTATTTACTGCATTAATTTGTGTAATTAAACAGTGTAGTTTAGTGTAATTAAACATGATAGATTATTACCTTGAAAAAAAGACCTATATTTGTTTTCATTTTTTATTTTTCATTTTCAACTTTACTGCTTTATGTAAACACACTAGAGCCCCAGACAAATATCGATAATTCAGAGTTAAAAACTTTGACCATAAATCAGCTTTTTAATACATACTTAACATTTCTCATAAGGATCAATTCAAATAACGTTTTATACAATATGTGCCAATAAAAATTTATAATGTAATATTTTAATATCAGCCAGCCAAGTCATTTGTTCAGATGCAATACACACTGTGGGTCCTGTACGAAAAAGATCAGCAACAACAGAAAGCATGAATTCTTTTTATAGTTTTATTGATGGTAATTACCCATGGTTTTTAATTTTATCACTCATCCAGTAATAATCATGGCTTTAAAATTAAACTGACTTCCTTATCATCCAAAGTCACCCTCGTCCATTTAAACACGCAATAGAAAAATATATACTTAATACTTTGTACAATACTGGTTTTGGTCCAAACAAAAGTGGATCAGAAAAGCCAATATACCTTTAGTCATTAAAGGCTCTCCAATTTGCATTTAAGCTCCTTTTAAATGGATTCGGGCAACTTTGAATATAGGAATTTACATAATAAATTCTAAAGACAAAAATGCTGAATGCGGAGTTGGTAACACAAAAAATTCAACTTCACAGATTAAAAAAAAAAAACATCACTATTTACAGGTTTTTATAATAATATTCAAAGGCCAATTAAGAGAGAGAGAGAGAGAGAGTGAGAGCGAGAGAGAGAGATAAAGAGGGAGAGGGAGAGGCAGAGAGAGGTAAAGGGAGAGTATAAGGATTCAGGAGGAGAGAGGGAACAAAGAGAGTGAGAGAGAGACACGAGGGCACGAAAAGCAGAGTAGTGGAGCGAACCAGAGAGGTCAAAGAATTAAACATGTAACAGAGTTTTGAAAATATGCATTTACAAAGTCTGAAAGGAGTTGAACAAGGGCTTTACCCTCCGGCCCGGTCCATCCTCCACAGTGCATGGATACGTATTCCCCCTCTCCCAACCCCCCCGCCGCCCTCCTTCCTTCCTTCCTCCCCTTGTTTTTGTTTTAAACATTCATTTGCTTGCTCACCTGCTAGCTCAACCAAGCTAGCGGCCCATGCGTTCAGTTTTCATACGCACACCGACACGCAAACCTCAGCATGTACAAAGAAACCAAACACACCTCAAGTCTGTACATAAGAGGGGAGGAGAAAAAAAAATTATAATAAAACAAGCACGCTGCATTCACCACAAAGATTACACGCTCATCCCTGTACATACAGCACACTGCACTGACACCATGGCTATGTCTCCAACGGCACCTTGATTCCTGTAAGAGGAGCAGTCTAAATAGTTTTTAGGATAACCACTGGAGATTTGCCGCACAGCTCTCGCTACCTCTCTGCATATCACAGCTCATAACCTGATCACCCATACTAATTAATAAGATTTTGTGTACACTCGCAACTCTTTAGATTTGCGGTTTTTGCCTTTGTAATTTTATTACAAAAAGTCATGCCTAAAGTCTAGCAGACATTTGCCGGTGTTGAAAATATAGATATGACTGTCTTGCTTGTTTTTTTCGTCATGTTCAGCAGGGGTCCTTGCTTGATTGTTGTTTTCTAAGTCAGTGTCATTATGTTGTCATTATTCAAGTCAACAGTTTTTGTTTTCATGGTAAGTCCTGTGGGATGGTCTCACATATTAACGGCTCCGGTCTACTATGTGAAACCTCTTGAATAATCAGCCCAGCTAAAATACGCTCCCACCCGTCCAGCCCGAGCACAGAGTGGCCTCGGCCCTTCTTCACATGCCAAGTAATTTCAGTGTTTGTCTAGTTAAGACCTTCCAGGACTTTATTCAGTGGGGGATACAGTCAAGTCAAAGTCAAGTCTACTTTATAGTCGAGTCCACAGGGCTCTACTTTCTGCGTCGCACCGCTGTCTTGATCTTCCGCCCGGGAATTGCTGGCTGTCCAGCTGGAGAAGCTGTGAAGGTTTTTGTTGACCTGGAAGAGCAAATGAAATTTCATTATTATAAACATCACAACAAACACCGACAACAGAAACAACTGTCAAATCTGCACAAAGTGGTTCGTGGAGATTGGGTAATATTATCATTTAACAGATGAACAAAACCTCATCTAAGCTAAAACATCAACACAGATATATCAGCCTGTACCATATCGAAACTAAAATCCAGCAATTTGACCCCAACACAGTCAAATGTACATTAGACAAGATGCATGTCTGCCTGAGTTTGTGAAATACATAGGAAACTTAGGTAACTGTTGTATGAAAATGTTTATTTGTATTCAACAGTTATTCTTCCTTTAGGACAAGTTTAGAGCAGATACATAAATCTGTAATTTATGAGGACATGAAGCAGTTAAGACTGAAATAAACATTTTAAATCAAAACATAAGTTATGAAGGCAGTGAACAATGTTTCAGTGTACAGATAGAGAAAAATACTGGCATACAGGTGAACTGAGTAAGTGCAACATACCCAATGTTGAATGCGGGGGGTTGTGCAAAGTTGAATCCACCTCCAGGTGTTCCTGACTGGGGCGCAATGGAGGTGTTGGCAGAGGGGGCAGGAGATGCTGCTGATCCCGCTCCAAAAGTAAACACACCTGAGGTGTTGTTTGTGGCTCCGAATGCACTGGCTCCTCCAAACTGAAAGCCTCCACCTAATGGATTAATACACATTTTTATTTTTAAACTTAACTATAATTTCACCTTCTCATGATAAATATAGCTTCATATGGAGAGGATCAGAGAACCAGATAATTGACTATACAGTTACAGTCACTCACCTGGTGCAGAATTATTAGTTGCCCCAAATACAGCGGTGGAGTTGGCCTGCTGACCGAAGACAGGGGCAGCGTTGGGTTTGGCTCCGAAGGCCGGGGTCTGGGAAGGCGTGGCTGTGAAAGGGGACCCGAAAGATGAGCCAAATGAAGGAGTCGGGTTGGCCCCGAATCCACCAGAGGGGGCTGAGCTGAATGCAAATGGAGAGGGAGCTGCAGACGGAGCTGTTTAATGAAAAAAAGAACGGATTTAAGACACATGGACATATAATAAATATAAAAGATCGATGTAAATCTTTCACTGTTGTTGCTCAGGCCTAAAACAGACATTGTGTTCAAGCCAACCACCTTGAGCAAATACAGACCTGAAGATGAAGCAGCAGGGGGTGCTGCGGCTCCGAAACCAAAGGATGGAGCGGCAGCAGGAGGAGGAGCAGCACTGGCAGGAGCACCAAAGATGAAGGGCTGAGCTGGGGCTGGAGCTGAAGTGGAGTTCAGAGGGGCAGCTGACGGGGCAGGCGGCTGGCTGTCCTGCCCCTGGCCAAACACGAAAGCTGCTTTAGCTGGAGGAGCGTCACTGGAGGCTGCAGCAGGTTGACCGAACATGAAAGTGTTGGGGGCAGCAGAAGGAGCTGGAGCCTGAGTGGAGCTGCTGATGCTACTGCTGGTGGTGGTGGTGGTGGTGATGCCGCCAAACAGACTGGGGGCCGGGATGGAGGAAGATGATGATGTGGTGGAGTTGGTGGAGTTGGTGGGATTAGTGGGATTACTAGCCATAAAGGAAAATGCTGGTTTTGGAGCAGCAGAAGAATCTGTATGGAGAACAAACAGTTGATTAAAACAACAGTTGTGATAATGATTAGAGTGCACCAATTTTACACAAATCAATTTACTGGTTACAGAGAATACTACTCAGGCCGTATTTAGGTCAAATCAGGTGTTATAGGTGTGGCGATTAATCGCAGGTTCATGTGGCAATGTGTGTCTGTGGGACGGGGGGGTGTTTATTTTTGCTTAAGGACATAACACTGTGAAACAATCACAAAGTAATGTTTAATTTCTCAGATTTACCGGTTTTCTTGCTACCGGTGTTCTCTCTGTCATTCAATGTCTATGTAGCTTGAACCACAACAAAAATACAAAATGTTATTTCTCGGATTCACAGGCTCTCACTACCACTGCTCCCTCTCCTACTTCCTCCCTATGCCATTCGACCAGAGCTTAAGAGATCACATAGCACATGTACAAAAATGCGCAAAGTGAACTTATGTTGGGAGAGCAGGCAGAGTGTCAGGGAGTCACTGTGGCAGTCCTAAAACCTCATACAAATAAATAAGAAGAGAGCATAATGGCACCTTGCACTGCACGTATCAGCTCTTTATAGTGATGAGACTTTGTGCATAACGAGCAAACAGTGTGTGCTGCCAAACTACAGTACAATTTGTTTTGCACATCAGGATCAACTTCAACCTACTGTGTGTGTGTGTGTGTGTGTGTGTGTGTGTGTGTGTGTGTGTGTGTGTGCCTACACACCGTCTCAATGCAACAGACAATTATTCGTTTACTTTGGGGATTTTCCCCCACTTTACTTATTCTGGAAAGTTGACGGAGAACAAAGCTTTTTTTTTTTTCAAAAAGGCATCGTTAAAACAAAAACTTGCCAACTACAACCAGTCTGATCTGTTAGCAATTCAGTAGCTCCACTACAGCAGCTGGTAGTTAAAGGCCTTGATCAAAAGGACCTTAGCAGACAGGAAAAAGCATCCAGGAATCCAACCAGCAACTTGTCACACGCTTGCTTCTAGCATTTAGGCTACCACAAGCTCAACTGATTTTAGGGTTTAGGCGCTTACAATTATATCACAGATGTTATTCTATTGTGTCAATACAACTACAAAACTGGATTTTCTTTTAAAGAAATCAGCAAATGAAAAATCATAGAAGAATTAATCATCCAGAGAAAGCATAGCATTCATAAGGGAATTACAACCATGTCAGTGTCCAAACTTTCTCTCACCTGTAGCACTTTGTCCAAAGGAAAAAGCGGGCTTTGGGGCCTCTGCAGTCGATGTTTCACTCTTGTCTGCTGGCTTTCCGAAACTGAACGCAGGTGGAGGTTGTTCTGTTGCAGCGCTGGGCTTGCCGAAGGAAAATCCTCCTGAAGCGGCTGGTGCAGAATCTGCATCTTTACCAGCAGAACCAAAGAGGAAGGCAGCGGCTTCCTTCTTTTCCTCTGGCTTCCCAAAGGTAAATATAGGATCATCGTCTAACTGTTCGGAGACTGTAAGGTACATAGAGTCACGTTGTGGTGTGGTGGTTGCCAAACTTGGTTTGCCCAATCTCCCAAATACAGACCCAGTGGTGGTAGTTGTGGTGGTGGAGTTTGTGTTTGTCGATGTGGTGTCATTTGATGATGCCACACTGTCACTCTTCTCTTGAGAGGAAACAGGAGGAGTGAAACTAACAGAGGATAAGGTGGTGGTGGTGGTGGTGTCTGATGTTTTTTCTTCAGGTTTTGACAGTCCAAAGGTGAAGCCGCCCTTAGAGGCGTTACTTTCTGTGTTAGATGATCCAGTTCCAAACATTATCCCACCACTGGATCCAAACTTAAACCCAGTACCTGCAGCAGGTTGGTCTGACTTTTTGTCATCACTAGAAGCAGCCCCAAATTTAAAGCCCTCAGATGAGCTGCCAAATTTGAACCCTGAAGAAGCAGTAGTGTCTTTAGAAGTGGTTTCTGATGAGGAGCTTCCAAACGGGACTCCAAATTTGAATCCACCTGACGAAGAAGAAGAGGAGGACTCTGACAATGAACCTCCAAACTTGAAACCTCCCGAGGTACTGTCTGATGTGCCAAACTTAAAACCTCCAGAACTAGAGGTAGAAGAGCCTGTGGTCCCACCAGCTGATGAACCAAAAGACGAACCAAAAGCTGAAGACAAACAGAAAATAAATCAAAAAAGGTGAAAGGTGTGGATTAGGTGCAGAATACCTATAAATAGTACCCATCAAAAAACACACAATGCCCCCCATAGTACTCACTGCTCTGAGAGTCCTGATTTACACAAAAATCTTAAAAAATAAATAAAAATACGTGTTACCTTTGGGCTCCAAATTAGCTCCAGGTTTGGCTGCCTGACAGGCAACACACTGTAGATCAGCAGCCTTATTCTGTAAAAGACAGACATCACAATCCCAGGCACCCTCTGGCTTCTTGAACGCATCTCCCAACGCAAACATTGGAGCACTGCTGACTGAAGAAGAGACTCCTGCTGATGCTCCTGTTGTAAGAACGAGGAGAGATAGATTATTTTTAATCAAAATACTGTTTAGTTAATGACACATTGAGCCACGAAAAAACAAAAACTACATTCAGCACTTTGCAGAATATCAAATAGCAATGTTACCAGGTTGTCATTACCTGGTTTAGCACTCATACAGGCCACACACTTTGTGTCCTCTGCCTTGTTTACTACCATACACGTATCACATTCCCATGCACCCTCAGGTTTTTTGAACTTGTCTCCAATTCCGGTCAACCCAGTAGAAATGGGGGTTGTGGGGTTGGATACAGTCTTAACAGCTGAGAAGGCAGAAGGAAGAGTCAGTGAAGGTTTGAGTCCAGTTCCCGGTTTGGCCGTTTCACAGGCCACACATTTTACTGCATCAGGTTTGTTTCGAACAAGACAGGTATCACAGTCCCAAGTTCCTGAAGGTTTGGAGAACATTGTGCCAAAACCTGTGGTGGTTGTAGTGGTGGAGGTGGTGTTCGTGCTGCTCTCTAGCTCAGCCGAGGTGGTCAAAGGTTTACTGTCTATAGATTTGGATAAGGAGGAACTGGGCTGTGGGGTCATACAGCACACACACTTGGTGTCTGATAGCTTGTTCTCGACCAAGCACACATCACAGCTCCAGCCTGGTGGGGCTTTGAACAAACCTCCAAACCCTGTTGAAGAAGAGAGAGAGGAGGTGGTTGTGGTGGTGGAGGTGGAGGGAGTAGTGGACTGTGTGGAGGTCTGTTGCGGAGTGTTGTCTGGGCCTGGGGAAGTCCGAGCAACGGGAGAGGCAAAGCCTAGACATAACAAGGAAAGGATTAAAACAGTGATCAACCATGTAAACCATAACACTGCAGATGTGTAATGAGTTACTGATTCTAACCAGGTGCTTTGAGAAGATCCAGGACACTACCCTGCTTCAGGGTCTTGGCTGGCTTGAACGGTCCCTCAAAATCTTCTGTGCTTTTGCTTGTTGCAGGCTTTGCTGCAGAAAACATGAAATACACAAAGATTAAACTTGAGTTACAGAACAGAATATACAACATACTAGTTGTAAGAAAACTCTCTTACCTGTTGCCGCCATGGGAGTGGCCAGCTTCCCGTTTGACATGGAGGGACCTAACTTTGCTACAGGGGCACTAAAAGTGAAACCAGCCTACAAAAAGGAAAAGCAAATAATAAATATGAATTAGTGTTACTTTTGTTAATAGCCATCTATCTAATTAATTATGAATCATTAAGAGACAAACTGTTTACTTACTGAGGGGGAAAATGAAGGGGGACTAGCAGCAGTTGCTTTGACAATAGGGGAGGAAAATGTAAAAGGTACACAGGGAGGTGTTGAGGCCATTAGTGGCTCCTAAAAAAAGAAAACAGCACAAAAATTAGCAACATGCATTAATAATGTATGTTGTAGTAGAACAAGACAATTTTAATACAGACCTTATTTGTGACTGTTTCCTTAACGGGGGTCACAGGTGTGACATTGGGGGCGTTGCTGATGGTGGTCAGAGGTGGAAGAGGGGAGGTGAAGCTGAAGGTGGGCAAGGCGGAGGTGCTGATGGGAAGTGAAATTGTTGGAAGGTCTGGTACCTCAGCCACCTGAAGTCAGAAAATAAGCTTGAGTGTGTGTCCAACTTTTATAGTGAGAAATGCAAACAATTAGATGCTTGGGCCATTTCTGGCTATTATCTCTCAGACTGATGATGAATCGAGATAAACCTGTTTAATATCAATGTGAATGCATCAAAGCAGATGACCTGATCTGGAATTATGAATTTTCTCCTGTTTTTTTTTACCAATAAGTAGTGGAAAATTAGTTAATAGTTAATTTGATATGAAGCCCTTACCTCTTCCTCCTCAGGGCGTTTAGAGGAAGGCCGTGTAGTGGTCCTCTCTCTCTTCATCTTGCCACCTCCAGAGCTCACGCTGCTGGCTACAGGCGTGCTGGACAGAGGATAGACTGGGACACTGGAGCCCATTGTGCTAGAGAGGTAGACAGTAAAAGGTATAGTAAGTAAAAAAACTAAACATACAGAGAACAATAAGTAGGAATGTTGTGATTAGGTTATACTGCCTTTCTTTATTAATTGGATAAGTTTCTTGGAAATACTTTGCATTTTCCCTGTTTTTACCTTTGAGATGGACCTGGGGTTGCTTCAGGTAGTTTTGGTGATTGTCTTGTGGGCTAAGGGAACAAGAGAGCAACAAATTTAGAATCACGTTTGTATTAAACTCCATTTGTTTGCAATCAATGCACAATGTTGAGGTGTAAAATAATGCATCACTGGATTTCTCACCATCTCTCTTGGGGTCCTGTCCAGAGGTCGGCTTATTCCTCCAGGAGTCAGAGTAGGCCTGAAGGACACAGAGCGGTTTCCTGACACAGATGCTGCAGCGGGAACCACCAGCTTCTGCACCGGTGGGAGGCTAGAATCCATCTGAATTAAAGAAATGGTGGTAAAATGTAAACAGGAGATAAGAATCAGAACGAATGAAGGCGGCATTCTTTGTCTAAAACTATATGATATAGCTAATGCCTCTATGCCACTGAACTCAGTGGGTATATAAATACTATTAAAAACACATGACAAAGCCATACCATTGCATTTATGTAGCCTATTATTCAATATAATGAACATTGGTTGAGCAGTAGCGTTGGGAAATTGGATGAATATATTTGCTGGTTTAACATTGCCGGTTGTCTTTTTTGGCCGATTCTTTCCCATTATTTTGCTAAATTTAATGGTCTGCCTCTAAAGAACGAGAGCCATTCAGTGGCTGGCTCAGTACACACACTGAGCGCAGCACACACACGCGTGACTATATCGGCAATCGTCAATTGTTGGACTGATGGTGGCCAGCTGGAAAATTTTAACATATCGCCCAACCCTACTGAACATTTGATTCCTCTCAACTCAAACATGAAATCGTGTCCAAAAACATGAACACTAACATCTCTAGATATCTGCAGAATTATATTAGAACAAACTACACAGGCTATGTTTGTTGTACATCTCATCAGGCTGCTGCTGCTACTACACACCCACACACACCTACACCCACCCACACACACACACACACCCCCACACACACCTGTTGAAGCAAGATAACTTCTTCTTTTGGACTAGGGATAAACTGATATATTAGCGATGTTAGCTAAATAAGGTTTGGAATAATTTAGAAACAGTGTCTAAATCTATTAATGGTCTGACTATATTTTGGACCCTGTAAAAGGTAAGAACACCAAAGAAAGTACAAAAGGCCCAGTTAGATAGTGAGCTTCAATACACCATTGTTGGGGTAGCAGCTGGGAATGTCTGACAGTTATAACTGAGAGCAGGTCCAGTCCAGAGCTGGCACAATTTAACAATGGACTACACTTCACACATACACACACTTCCATGAGCCAAATACATCATGGAGTCTAGCACATTTTTGCTCTTAAACACTTGCACGTACATGCATGTATGTACAAAGAAAACCTCACACACACAGAGTTGTGAACAGCTGTGTCCCAGCCGAGGAGAATCCTGTTAGCTGGTGTAAAGGAGGCCAACAGACAGTAGGACAGGAAATGACAGGAGGACAAACCACAACAAGTGCTGCTGGGTCTGTACAATGACATCCCTGTTCACATCACTAAAACTTGTGCTACGCTGCAAACACACCGGACAGAAAACACAAGTGAAGTTTGTTTGCTGATGAAGTCATTCGGGGACATAAAGTAAAGTTGGATAGCTACACATAAACAAATGTATTGACAAAATAGACATGAGAGGATATTGTCACAAGAATATAAGAATCTGTACTTACTCGTTTCTTTTTCGACTGGAAATGTGAAACATCTAGATTTGTACCATCCATTGACTGAAAAGAGAAAACTCATGTGAGAAAAGTGTCTTTTATTGTTGGACAAAAATCAAGATGTTTAAAGGTCAGTGTTTCATGATTTGAACATTTTACAAATACTTGTCAGTAGGGAATATTTCCATGCTTTTCTGGTCACACCCAGCGCCTTACTGTAAAATATTCTGCTGCGAACAATGCTCACAATTTCCGATAACGAACGAGACTCCGGCATGCTAACTAGTTACGCGGCCCCGTGCAGTCATAAACATATTAAAAGTTCTTACTGGTGACAGGGGGGATGACGCTGCTGCTGCTGGGATTCTCCTGGCATCCTGTAGAAGAAAAGTCAAAATTCAGTCATTTTTGGATGAATATAATTAAGAACACTATTGACAAATCTAACCACTGTCAGATTAAATATAGTTTGAACAGAGGAAGTGATGGGTGTTGGATTGTGTGTACTTACAGCCAGAGGGCTCGACATGCGCTCCAAGGACTGCAGGATGCGTCTGGCTGTGGCGCTGGTCACCCCACAGGGCTGAGCACCTGCAGGTTTGGCCTTGATCTGTCTCCTCACCGGGGCCTACAGATCAGATTAGCTCATTTAGACTCCATGTGATGCCAGTGTCAGAAATGAATGGTGAGTGTGCGTGTTCACCGTGTGAAATTATTTATACAATTTTAACATTTGGCTCTTGATACAGGAGTCTCAGTTTCAAGCCTATATGGTCTTCACTAGCTCACCTGGTACGGTGTTCCAGGACGAGTGCGAGCGTTCCTGACTGCAGCAGCACCACCGTATGTGGTCTTCCCGGGATAGAAGGGTGAATCTCCAAGCTGGCTGGAGTTTAACATTGTGTTGTTGAATGTGGACTGGAAGAAAGAAGGTTAAATTAAAAATGACACTAGGGTCAAGTTAAATGACTTTATTATATTGCTAATCCATGGTGTTCCCGTTTTTTTGTAATGCATGAAATAAGGGAAAGTAGGCTCAAGCAGAAAGCAAAACAGTGTCATGAGTGAAACTGCAAATATATCCTTTCTATTTGCAATAATTAACATCAATATCTCAACATCTTTACCCCTAAAAATCCAGCTGCTTTCTATGATGTAAATATATCACCATGCAGTGGGGTTTGATATAATGTTTGTTGTAATGTTTAATGTTAATCTGATGCAACAAGCTCAGACTTGTTTTGTCACTCTGAAGTGTGTTTTAATCATTTTAATACTTAACTCAGTCACAATGAACACTTGTGTAGTTGTGAGTTGTCTAGACTGTGTTGCTGTGATGTCTGGCAAGCTGCCATGCACTTAAAAGAAGTGTACAGCATATTGATCACAGTATGGCTATGAGCAGAGTGATTTTAACATCGATTTCCCAGATAATGTGTGTCAATAAATAATAAAGATAGAGTTGAAACTTGAGACATTTATCTACACATAAAAAGCATTGGTCAGTGCAAAATTTGTAGATGTCTGTGGTACACTTGACTAAAAGAATTTGGTGCACTGACCAAATTCCATTTAGTGTCGAAGTGGGTCACTGCTCCAACAGCACAGCCCTAGATACAACCCTGACGCACCAAAATGCAGAGCTTTGTGGCACAGAACTCTTTTTTTTTTTTTTTTTTTAAACTGTTACATGCTGACAGACTCTGTATCTAAATAGGCAGACACACAGATACTCACATTGGAGGAAGTTCCAAATACAGACAGGTTGAAAGCAGGCCTTTTCAGACTGGACTGGGCAGGCTGAGGCCCAGAGTTTGTTCTGTCTGTCTCTGGAGACCAAAGTTGGGGAAGTGAAGCCGTTTTGGAAGTGGGGATATCTGTAAAAGAGGCGAAAAGGGGAGATTTGTAACCAATGCAGAAATCTGATTTAATGGCCTAGTCTCTGCATTCCAGGCCTGAGCCAATCCACACATGAAAAATATTGTCATCTCCACTAACCTCCATCTACTGCAACATTATTAGTTTGATTTACAAATTATTCCTTTGATCTAAAAACTGCTATTCAGGCTAACAAAGAAAAGAATCCAGATCATCACACAGGAAAAGCGTGTTGGTCGTTTCACACATTTAAATAAACAGCAGAATGAGCAGTGCAGATGTGTCCAATCACATGCCAAGTACAGTCAACAATCTGCCCTCAGCAGGTGATTTCCCACCACAACAGGGGATTCCCCCACTACATAAAGGTGTGCCAATCAGTGGGTGGAGCCTTTGGACTGTTGGACCCCCAGATTGGTGAATGATACATAATAGCTGGTCAAGTGTATTTTCACTTGTTACACATTTTATTTTTGCATCTGCAAATTCAAAAAGATTCAAAACTGCATGCAAGAGAATATTTTGCACCATGCAAAAAAACATCTATTGGACGCCAATAAAAAACAGCCAAAAAGTGATTGAGAAAGAAATGATGATGAAAACAAACAATATTTGTTGATCCAAAGAACACCAAAGTGTTAAATCTACTTCATCCACTGTCCAAATAAATTACTGAGAACATTCATTTTTTACTTGAGAGCACTTCCATTCGGTTGTTTACACACATTTACAAGGTGAGTCACATCGCAAATCTCTGGACACTTTGCCAACTTGACTGTAGTTCTAACATCAGTTCAATCACCTCAATACCACCCACTTTTTTATGATTTGGAATATCAACCTATGGTGTAATTATATCTATAAAAAAAGCCCACACTTTTAAAGACACCCAAACACACATCTCCTTATGCACAGAAGATTTGTTTGCTTAAATGCTCTGCCTTTACCTTTATCAGAGGCGCGTGAGGAGAAGCCGCTAGTGGTGGAGATGTTATCATCTTCATGCTGCGAGAGGTTGATTTCTTTGACCAAGGAGAAACCCGTGGAAAAAGGCCCAGGGGCTGAGGAGGTGGAGGGCTGAGAGAAGAGGCTGCTGGAAGCCCCCAGGGTCGGGGAGGAGGCATCAAGAGGGGGAAAGTGGAGGTGGGAGCGACTCAGAGGAGGTCGAGAAAGCACAAAGTCCTGAAAGTTCAGGGATGCCCGGCTGGTTGAGGGCTCTGTGCAAGAGAAGAAAGAAGCCAGAGGTGAGCATCATCATGTATGGATGTAGCTAGCTAAACCTTTTGATGACCTATGAGAGTGACTGAGTCCCTCACCTGTGTTACTGGTGCTTGGCTCCGGGGAGTCGCGTCCATCAAGGGGAGGCGGCCCCTCTTCGCTGCCATTAGGAGGAGGCGGCGGCAGCTGGCAATTCTGCTCTGTCCCCAGTACAGCCCCTCCTCCTTCAGGAGCATCTTCATTCTTAAAGTATTTCTGCAGCCAGGAGGGAACGATGCTCTTCACTGTGTCTGTCACTCGACTGATAAGGCCTGACTGCTGCTGATAAAAACATGAGAGGAAGCCGTGAACAGAGGGATAAAATGTGTGAGAGGCAGAAACAAACACGTATAGAAAAAACAAAGACCCATTAACGCAGGCCATTATCTGTAGTCTCATTAGAAAATTCCCTTGACAATCAGCATTAGATAAAAATGTAATGCATTAAAACGCTGCTACATATGAAACAGTTTTACTGGATGAATCTTGGTGATTTATTTTTCAACTACTAACACAAATAAATAAGACGTGGGATTTAATGCAAAGCAAATCCACATAATTTGTCTTTTTCGAATAATATAAAACAGTTTCTTCTTCTTGTCATTTACAAAATACAGCAATCAACACCGCATTTTATTATTTGAATCAGCTGCACAGCCACACTTGCAATGAGAAGCCATTCGTCCTCCCCAGTGCAAAGGAAAACACAAGCTCAGTATGACAGAAACTGGGTCAGGCCCTGTGTATGCTTCTCTGAAGCAGTGACGCCGGTCTGCACTGTACTGAGGTCTAGTAATGGATGTTCCAGTTGATAAGGATGAGTCTTGTCTCCTACGCCACACTTAAAAGACAACAACAATTAAAATATAGGAATTAAATATCAAGAAAGCTCTCTTGTGTAAAATGAATGAGCTGTAGCAACTGAGTGAATAACTGCCTCTCCATTTAGGGCATGTTCCACGTCTTAACTGACTAACTAGAATATATCCACCATCTCTTGCAGACACATACAGACCGAATGCTCGAGGCCAAATTTCATGAATAATGTCCCCACTGGATGGAGCAGTAGTAGAAGAGGTCCAGCAAGCCAGAGATAACAAAAATTAAATCTGTGTATGTACTGGAGAACAGTGCTTGGTGCTTTTTCCTTGTGTAAACATGGCACGTTTTTATTTATAAAACAGTTTTTTTTAGCTCTTAAAGGAATGATGGAGGAGGTAAAGGTTGAGAAAAAGGGCTAGCTAGCAGGTGCATCAAGAAATGTACACTGTCTAATCCGCGGTAGCCTTCAACTCCCGATAAGAGCAATATGTGCCTCTTACTTTAGGCTTATCTATGAAATACACCTGTGGGGCACTCTGCACTTTAACCCATGTGCAAATATACACAACTTTAACCAGTCATAACCACCACAGTGCTACTTTACTGAGCACTACATAAGCTATTGTTATAAGGATTTAAGGGTGCCGCATTTCTGCTACGCACAGGGTCAGGTGACTAAGCGACCTGTGGTTGACTGCGATCGCTTTATCTGGGAGGAGCTATCAGGTCGATCTAAAACACAGACTGAATATGCTGGAGTATATCAGTGAATCTATCTTTTGAAGCCAAAAATAAACTTTAAATAAACACCTGTTTAGAACATTCAGTCAGTTGTACTGTTACATTTATGCCGAGTGAAGAGGTGAGTATTGACAAGAAAGACTCTCACATTTACGACTTGCAAATTATTTCTCAAGTTGTGAGATGAATTAAGACTGCAATGGCACAAATGTTACATGTCTCATCACGCTTCTGCTTTTTAACTAGCACTGTTGTGTAAACCAAGCTAAACCCATCTTTTAAGGGCAGCTTTACACAAGATGTGGATAATAATTGTTTTTGGCTGACTTCAGTCCAGACACAGTTGTATGGACACATGAACATTTAAAGATGTAATCATGACTCCATGAGGCATGACTGAGGAACTGTTCAACTCATATTTGCATTTATTCAAAATATTGTTACAAGTTCATGTTTGTCTGTTATTATGTTTGTTTGTTGTTGCCACAAATGCATTCTTACACTTAAACTCTTTAACACTCTTCATTTCAACACTCAAACATGTATCCATGGAGGTAAAATCTAATGATCTGGTTGTTGAATTTGGATCAAAACTGTAACATGACAACCTGATACTGATGCCACATGCCAAGCAAGCAGCATTTGTAGCATAAATTATACAACTATGCAGTGCATACATGTTGAACTACAGCAGACACCATTAAGCTCAGTATTGACTCAGCTCACAGTTTATTAGGTCAACCTAAAACTGCAAAGACTAATTCATCAGCCCTGCCCTAAATTATAATGTTCATAATGTTTTTTTTAAACTGTTTTTAAAAGGTGATGATTCAACTTACTGAGAGAATTCAAATTTAAAACAACGCAAAAATCGTCTGAATCTTAAAACTGAGATTTAAATTACAGATTATATAGATATCTCTGCTAAGGACTCCCCATAGTATCGCATACGAGAACAAGGGGCCCCAATGATAAGACATTATAGATGTGGTCACGTTTCTCAACACTAAAGATGTGCTATCTTCCGTTTAGTTTGTTTTTTGGGGAAAAGACTAAACAAAAAACTATTGAAAGTGCAGATAGGGTGTCAAAATATTTTATTTTTAGGCAATATCACCTAGCCCTAACTTGAATTGGTAATATTTGTTTGTATAAATCGCTGTATAATCACCATATCACTGTAGGTCAATAAGAAAATATGTAAATCTATATATTGTGCATAAAATAAAAACTGGTTAACGTCTACACAAACGTAGATAACTAATGTTAATGTTAGCCATAAACAATAACTATCCATCTAAATCTTGTTTACTAGGCTTAACTGGTAAAATGTTAAATAAGTATATTTAATTGGTGGTCGACTGGTTACAATGCTCAACTGGTTTTATCTATTTATCTTCAGACTGTCAAAGAAACTTGTCAGCATCATTTTTAAAGCAGGTTTTACAGTTCAGTTGCCTCTCCAGTCAGACATCACACTGGTAGGCTGACATTCACATAAACAAACTCATTTATAGTTCACTACAATATATAAATATAAATATAAATAGGTCAACACCATGTACCAAAACACTTGTCGTCCACTGTTAACGTTACAGGTCGCGTTTAAAGCCAACACTGGTTGATGTACCGGCGGCAAGTGACTCCACTGAGGCAACCATGTGGGTTCCCAATCAGCCAATGCTTCCTGCGCAATCCAACTGGCTGAGATTTAGCTAACCTTAGCTAGGCTAACATCCAAAATGATTTCCGACAGGCCAGAAAAACAATCTTAAAATATAAGTGCATGAGAGGCAGCTAGCTATAGCTGTGCAAGGATGCAATCTGGGACCACACGATCGTGTCACTACTACCGGCGACGGTGTGAAGCCCCCAAACTCGAGAAGAGAAGACAACAATGCGTTGCTTGCCAGAGCTAGCCTGTTAGCAAGCATTAGCTACACCACTTCCTTGCTCTGCGCTAACAGCTAACAGCTAACAGCTAGCTACCAGAGCTAAGGTTGATTGTCTCAACGTGCCCGGCGTGCTCCTGTACGCTACCAAATATTGGTTAACAAGTCTAAATGACTCCCTCTGTCCTGATCTGACCTGTCAGGTCCGGCTCGTTTTGCTAACCTATAAGCCAGCTTGCTAGTTAACTAGCATTTCCTGGACATGCTAGCAGCGCGTGGAGGCCACGAGCGCTAACGGCAGGCCGTGAAATGTCTCCAACAAACAATAACAAGAGCTCCGAGATAGTGGCGAAACAATCACCGCAACGTCCTCGACACGGGCTTTTAACGGGGGAACTTTCACTCAGTTTACCTGTTTACTCTTGGCGTAAGGTTTAGAGGCGATGTGATATCTCCGGCTTCTAATTTTCCCTCCACCCGTGGCCGCCATGGCTCTTTCGTCTGAGTGTCTGTCGGTGTTTCGGCGCCGGATAGCTGTCATCCAGCACAGCGGCCGAACTCACAGAGGGATTGTGGGAAATGTAGTAGCTGAACATAACAAAGAGACAGGTTTTTTTTTTTTTTTACCGCCTGACCTGGCTGTAACATTATTTTATGTCCTGTGACTGTAATGTAGTTGTATTTATATTGAACATAATTTATAATTTAAGTAAACTGTAGCTGAAATTATTGTTATGTTAATTACAGTCAACCCAGTTCCTTTGGGTTTTATATTGTTGGTCGGAAAAATCAGGATGTTTTTAGCTCTGAAAAACGTATTGATTAGCTGGTTAATTAATAAAATCGTTAGTTAAAACAATAATGGAAATAATCATTAGTTGCAGCACTATATTGTCCCTTTATCCACTGTAATGAGACCTTTGATTAATAAAAATCAGTGGGTACATAATGAAGATACTGTGAGTCTAGGAGCATTCCTGTGGTATTACTGCAGTGTTGTGTGGTTTGTATGTATTTAAAGTATGCTGGCATCATGTCACTCTGAGGTCTGTTACTCAAACAGAAATGAATGTGAGTCAAATACAATATAGTAGTTAAAATATTCCAGTTACTGAAGATATTCCAAAGATGAGACGATAAAATATTAAAATAATATCTTCACAGTAAAATATATTCAATAGTGGACACAGTGAAAAACACATCAGTGATATGTGATAATTTAATTATGTGTACAAAAACAAACCAGCCACCCATAGAAAATCAGAAATCAGTTATACGAAGTTGTGCATTTGGGGCTACAAAGAACAATTTTAAAACATTTTATATTAAATACAGTGTGGTCTGACACTTTAAAAAAAAAAAAGTTGATGTAAAAGATAAAAATCACCAAGGCAGGCTAGTGCTGAAAAAAGTTTCATTCAAATAACATCAATAGAAATTCAATAAGTAGACATTAACTTACTAACATTGGTCAAGCTAATGGTAGTTTGTAAAACACTTACACTAAAGATGAAACTATAAAGCAGCAATCAACAATATTAGGAAGAGCTTATGTGAACCAGTCACTTACTGTGTTGTATTAACGTCACATTTCATTAACTTGAACTACTAAAAAAAACACTTTGAAAAAGGATATTTTCACAAAAGTGATTATCCTCTGCTATTGAATGTCACCACAGTGCTTTTGCATTGAATGTCACAGTATTTTCTGTCAGTACACCTATCATCCACCACTCACCACTCTAACGGCACACACACACACACACACAAAAATTACAAAAATAACTTACATCTCAACAGTTCCAATAACCACATTTATGGAAGGTGAAATAGGTAAGAATAACATATATAAAGGCTACAAATGGTTCAGTAACTCTTGGTTGCTCCTCTCATCTTTTCTGGTGATGCATGTGATTGAATAAAAGCATTTAGTACTGCATGTACCTGTACCTTACTATATTATAGTTAAGTGAAAAATGTGGCTACTTTTGGCAATTATTATACAAAAACAAATATATTAAATTAAAAATCACCAACTCAAGTTACAAACATCAATAACTGGAATCTCTAGTTGTGTAGTAAGAGTAAGAAATTTAGCACACTAAAAACGAAGAGGTGTCAAAGAGGTTAAGTGCAAAAACGTGCCTCTTACCTATACATATGGTTTGTAAACCAGACCACACTGATAAAGCCGACACACCACTGACTGGACAAACTAAACCTGTCCCACAGTGCAAAGCATCCCACATACAGTCAGTAGTTTAAAGCTGAAAATGCTGGGTGAAGCCCGATGCTGAGGCTTGCATGCTAGTTTTTACAGTGCAAATAAGGCCACCTTTTCTTTCACAGTCCAGTGCATGTTTCCTGGTTATTAAGGTCTGTTTAAAAATATTAAATAGAAAATCAATTTTGTGCTTGTCATAGCACATCGTATTAAAGATCTGCTGGTACTGCAGATTCTATAAAGAATCAAACACTGCAGTCTTCAGGTCTATGAAGCGTGTTTTGCCTCCGACTCCGAAAGTCATTAGAACGCGGTATGTTAAAACAATATATCAGGCTTGTCAATGTGAGTCTGCTTCCTTCCCTCTAGGATTTATTAAACCCTGGGTGCAACTTTTAATTATTCAGTTAATTTAAGTGCGTACTGCATTCGCCTTGTTGGGTGCTTTCAAGACTGTAACCTTCATTCTTTCACAGAGGATGTCAATCAGTGTTGCTTATTGTCTCTTTCCTCCATGGCCATTCACAAATCTGTTCCTTGCAGAAGCTCTCCTTCGTTTTGTAGGTTGTAAACTTCTCAAGGAATCCCGCTGAGCTATGGATGAAAAAAAAAACATAACTATGTTCAACATTTAGGTTGGAGTAATGGAAGAGTTGTCACCAGCCTGTCTGTTATGAGACTGACCTGCAACGCCATCTGGAACAAAACCACATGAGTCGACAGCACTGCTGTCATCACAGTCCTCACTTTGCACAGAAGTGCTCTATAAACAGAAGGAAGCGTGGAGTGAATGTAGTGATAATAAGATGCACAGCTCTAAAGGGTAACGACACATCAAGTCAGTTAGACTGTCTACCGGCCTCATCATAGAAGATATTGTGACATGTCACAGTCGGTAAAACACAGGAGTGAATAACAAAATGAATGCTGCCTGAGTTTTATTTAGCTGTTTCAGTTTCAGGATCCTGGTATTGTGCATGCTGGCTCACTGTCACACCATCATGGCTGACTGGGACACGTGAATAGATCAGAATTAATGTAATAAGCAACACCTGTGCTTTTCCTACAATCACAACTCAAAATGTTCAGCTCTTTCTAAGATTCTCTTAAACATTTTGTAAATTTTAATTAAAATGTAATCAAAGCATTCAGTGAAGAACAAAAGCAACATCTCACCTTCATTTTATGTTGCTCATACCACACCATCCCATACAAACATAGAAGTGTGATAAGTGCCTAAAAGAGGATGCAAGAAAGTCTGATTAAACACAATTTTTTTTCCACACTGACTTTGTGTTGTACAATAAAGACCATTCAAATAAACTCAAAAGCAAGAAAGAAATACCAACAAGCTACAGGGGGTGACTGTTACTAGGGCCCAATGCAGCTTTGATCAGAAATCTTTATTTTTCAGGTCACTGAGTGTATATTATTCTGACTGACATCCTTTCATTTCCTTTACCTACAGTATAGATTAACAGTGTTTTTTGAAAATGTACATAGGTACATTGCAATGTTATTATATTTACACAGGAACTATAGTTGCATAATACATGTATTTGGTCTAGACAGACTGAAGTGAAACATATATAGCTCTATTAGTCCACACACACACACACACACACACACACACACACACACACACACACACACACACACACACACACACACACACACACACACACACACACACACACACACACACAAACACACAAACATATGCACATTCATCTTTTCTTACCAGACAGAGCAGCCACAGGAACACATATCGAATTTGTGTCTTGGAAAACAAGTCGTGACCAAATTTCACACAAGCAAGAGCCTCGAGGAAAGCAATGGCCCTGAAGGGAAATATAAGGACGTCACATAAATGGTGTGTTTGCTCTGGAAATTTTAAACACGTTTTTGTATTCAACAATGGCCCCCTCTCTTGGCAATGCCATTTCATTGCAGTGGAGCTTCTCTGTGGATGCATAACACTTGTGGCACATCCAAATGTATGTGCTCTGTATTATTGTTTCCCAGCCAATCAAACCCAAAACAATATTCACTCACCACACTGCTGTGGGAAACCCTTTTTTCCAGTTTTAAAGGTTACACTGAAGGGGTAAACCTTGGACAACAGAGTGGCCTCATTGTTGAGTATTTCATGCAGACGGAGAGAGACTGTCTCGTTGCTATGGAAACTAGAGCAGACTGAGGGCATTAGCAGCTTTGTGGCTGAGATGAGGTCAATAACTTCATTACGTGATGAATTTCATTCACACTTTTATAAAGCTGAATTTCAATAAAGACACTCAGAAACGAAACCTTTCAGTCCAAATAAAACCTGTTCCGTTCATTTGTCAAATACACTGAACTAGCTTACTGGATCTGCAACAGTTTGCAGTCTAATAAGATAGCTTGTGACCAACAAAACAGAAGTTTTCAGTGAGGACTCCTATCAGTTTGCAGAGCTGTTGCCACTTGTGGGAAGAATCTATTTATTGTTAAGTTCTGAGTGTGCGATAACTTTGATTATTTATCTTAGCATGAAAGGGCCGCAAACTTTCCATTTCACTGTAAACCATGTGTTGTATAATGATAAATCAATTTCCTTGATCCTTGATAGGTGCATCTACAACATCCCTCACCCTGCCTGCCAATACATTTCAACCATAAACAGGAGTAGATCATTAACATGAGACACTGTTGGTTTTTTGGCGTCGTCCTTAAGTTGCCTTTGTGATTTGTTTGATTAAACAGGGATAGCCAACCAGCCTTGGCACAGCCCCTTCATTGTGATACATGCCGACAAGATCATAGAAAACCTACCAGACTCTGGACAAAGTTCACTATCAGTTTACCTACCAGACTACTACACTGTTATCATTCAACTGACAGGTTACAAGCAAATTTGTCCCAAAATATGGCAATTGGAATGAGAAAAGAAATAGTAAAATGTATTTTGTTATGATACTCCTTAAAATAATTCCCACTGGGGGCAAGGTTTTTTTAAAATATGACCATCAAAAGGTTCAGTGTGTAACATTTAGTAGGATCTATTGGCTGTTAAATATGACATTCATAGTTATGTTTTCTTTAGTGTATAATCACCTGAATGTAGGAATTATTGTGTTCTTGTTACCATAGAATGAGCTGTTTTTATCTACAGACACCACGGGCCACCATCTGTGTTTCACCATCTGTATGTACTGTGTTAAAGTTAATTTTACTTTTACTTTTTAATATTTTAATGTATGTTGAATGTATGTTGAATGTATCTAATGTACGTCTTGTATGCTACTGGATACTTGAATTTCCCTCG